TGGGTTCAATTTCTACCAGATATTTTTCTAAAATTTGTGAGACTTTAACTGAAAAATTTGTATGAAATATTGTTTGTATAATTTTCGATAAAGGTCGATAGCACATCTCGTTTAGCTGCTGTATGGGTGGGATGCTGTATGCTGTACGCCTTCCAAAGGATTGGTTGTCTGAATTAAAAAGAATCTTATATTAAATATCTTACTATATTGTTAACCGTTTTCTAGACGTATTTTTAATCCAATTCAATAAGTTTTAATCTTACATACGCTCAAATATCATTAGACAGGAACCATTTCAACATGCCTTAATATATCACAATCAGAAAGTAACCCTTTTCTCCTTACTAGTAATTAATAAATAAGTAATTTTAATATTTATCACAACCACTTAGCGCAATTAAGTAAGTATTAGTTTTATGTTATTTCGATTCTATTCTGAAATAAATTGCTTTGGCCTATTGCTCCCAAAGTGATCTCACTAAACTCCCAACGTAAAAAAATCGTATATTAAGTATAATAGATACTGTCTGTAGTTGATTCGAGTCGTACACATTTAAAGGGTTTAAAACGCGACATATTGTAGTCAAACTTATTTGAAAATTATTTTAACAACGGCCCGACGTTTCGGATGCTAATATACTTATAGCTTACATATTTAAACTAGCTGTGTCAGCGACTTCGTCCGCGTAGAATAGTACTTTTGTGCATCCAAATTTGTTTTTGCAAACCTCTACATTTTTATAAATTTAAGCTGCCCACGACATCGGTCGCGTCCCGTCGTTCGGGCCCCGTCGTTCTTGCGTAAATTTTAAAAGATATATATGTCGCAGACATTTGTTAGATTATTTAAAGAGATTCTTACATACATATTTTTTTGGATGTCTTGATCCATTTTCGCAGCGTACGCATCTGATAGCCACAGCGATTAAAAATTTTCCCCGTTTCGTTAACATTTACCTCTATATCTTCGCTTGTATTAGTCAGAGTGCGATGTTATAGCCTATAGCATTCCTCGATAAATGCTCCAACACGAAAATAATGTTTAATTCGAATCCAAACTTCCCGAGATTAGCGCTTTCAAACAAACAAACAAACTCTTCAGCTTTATATATTACTATAGATATAATAGATATTATTCCTCCAATTTAACGATAATCATATGCGACATCGAACTATACCTATTCCGTCGAGTGTCGTTATAAAGTTTACACCATATGAGCAAATTATATTTAAATGCACTCTTTATTAAATGCGCGTTGAAAATAATTATGTCTAGCTTTGAAAACATTAATATTTTTTCCACATATTACTTCACATGAAGGCACTATATAATTTAAAGATAGAAAATGAAAAAAAAGTTGTAAACATTTAAGAATTAAATAAAATTATTTGCACATTATAAGTATGACTAAACTATTTAAAACGCGAAATGTATTAGTTAGGTTGCTTTTTACTTAGCAGCTGTTGTCAGGAAGGAACTGAAAGCGGCGGGCGTCTCTAAAATCAAAATGAAAACTTTTACGCTAGCGCCATCTGTTTCTTCGTCGATATTTTGAAATGATAATTTAGATCTTTACTGACGGTGTTTTCTTGCTAGATGATATTTTAATGTTTTCAGCCAATTTGTTTCATATTTAGATTATAAAAAACGTGTGAAATCACGTTTCCTCCGGGGGGCATAGGGCGAACACATTTTTGTGTTCGTTTCACTGATATAGGCAAATAGTTGATCGGAATTCTGTGCCCTGCCCAACTGAAACAATTTATAGTTTCCCTAGAATTCGAACCCTTGACCTCTCGCGATTAACGCAATGCTCGGCAACGTCTATAACCATTTAGCTACACAGGCGCTCAATTCGATTATAAATATATAACTTATTAATTTTGTGTTTGCAGCTCAATTTCAGTATTGTAATTTTGTTATACCATCCGCGCAAACTAAAGAAATACTTGAAGTCTTACAAAAAAGATATTTGATTGTGATTATTAAAAATGTAACAGACTTTCCCTCTCATCCTTATAGAATTACATTCTGGTACGAGCAATAAAATGTATTATTCAAGCACGTTCCTAAATTAAACTTAAATTACAGAGAGCGCCTCATTGGCCGCGTATTTTCCTTCAGAATCTTAAAATTATAGACTAAAATCGTTAATTCTTGTAGATAACTGGGTTATAAACGTCGAAACAGATAGAACAGTTAGTCGAAAAGAAAAAGACTTCAGATTGACAAGGTAACACAAGAAAGCCGTTAAGATTAGTCGCGTTTCGGTTCCAGTCTATGAATTTCTAAATATACAAAACGGTCGACAGTGCATCTGCTCAAGATGCGCTATTGTCGTTGATCAAGTTAGAACTAATCTGGAAATATAGATATTGGTGGTATGAATATCGAAATTCCGCTTATCAGGAAACATTATCCTAATCATTATAATGTTAAGACAATAATAATGTTACTCACTTGATAATTATTTATTGAGTTTTATATGTAACGCGCCCACACTTGGTCCATTATAGGATGATAAATTTGACAATTGACAATAATCGCGATATGTCAATTGTCAAATGTGGTAAATGGTTGAAAATTGTGGTTGTACAATTGTTCGGACAGATTCGGTTGATTTATTATTATTATTGAATAGAAAATACGTTGCTTTGAAATTGTATTATTTACTATTGAGATAATAAAATTCAATATAAAGATGCCATTACGATGATGTTATTTTTTTAAATATATTCGGCTTATTAATTTTACCATAAATTTTCAATTGTTTGCAATATCATATACCACTAGCTGTGTCAACGACTTGTCCGCGTAGCGTCTTGCGTTTTGGGCATCGAAATTTGTTTTTGCAAACCTCTACATCTATATAAATTTAATCTGCCCATGACATCGGTCGCGTCTCGTCGTTCTTGCAAGTTAATCTTAAAATATAGACAAATAAGGTCGCGGACATTTTTTCAAATCATTTAAAGAGAAATCATTCCAACATAAATATTTTGGGTGTCTTGAGCCGTTTTCGCAGCGTAAGGATCTGAAAGGCACAGAGATTAAAAAAATTCTTGTCTTTTTGTAATTTCATAGGAGCAGAGGAGTCGAAAAAGTTTTAAAATCCCTTGTCGCTAAATGGAAAAATATACAACTTTAGCTACGAACGTTTCAGTTCGTTGTAGACAAAGGGTACGCCGCGTAGACACGAAAGGAGCGTAGGATGACTGCTACAAAATAAAAAACAACTGAATTCGTCTAAATACAGATTTTTATGAATAAAATTTGTTGATAACTGTTTGAGAAGCACTCGCGTTGGAGTCATTGTAACTGTAGTTCACGCGGGTAGTACACATTGAAATTAAACCGTTTAAACGCTTTAAAACGCGAACTATTATTGTTAACTATATTTACGGCTGCTGCAAGGCATCCGAAATGTCGGGTCGTTTTCAATTTAATTAATCGTTAGTTATTTCCCCTTGATTTGAACCTGGAACCTCTCGCGCTTAACACAATGCTAAGAAAAAAGGTTTAACTTGTTTAATTGTTTATGGGTCGTGATATACCCCAGACAAGATGCCGACCTATTTTGGCTATGTATGTTCGGAAATCCACAGACTGAAACCATCAACCCCTCACCCCTCTCCCCGAAAAATGTATAAACGCCAAACCTCTATTATTTTCGATGTCGGTATACATGTTTGTTCTCATCGTTATGTTAGGATGAGTGAAAGTACGCCTACCTATACAGCTGTGAAACACCGCAGACCCGGTCGGTGCTAGTCAAAGGGCCGCTGAATCGCGTTGCTGTATCACGCGATAGGTCAAGGGCTCCACACACCCTGACGATCGAAATCTCGATAATTGCACTGCAGATTATGTAACTCTGTTTTGGTTTAGACTTTAGAGTTTGCGGGCTGCTTTGTTGGTTTTGTGGTTTGCTTTCTCTGTGGTTTGGGAAGCAGGTTACAGTCATCATAACCAATTTAATTTGGGGGGACTTAGTATTTACAGGCCACCAACCCGTTCTGGTAAGGTTCAGCGGAATGCTTTAAACAAATGCGTACATACATCGTCCTGTTTTATCTTCGAATCACTTTGTTATTTTTATGATCCTATTTACAAAAAAATACGCCATAATCAATTTAAGTTTAATAAATAACTTTTTAAATAACACACTTTTAACGGTTCATAACGCAAAAATGATTTTTAACATCGGCCCGACGTTTCGGATGCTTTCCAGCCGTGCCATCCGAAACGTCGGGCCAAAGTAAAAAAATCATGTTCAAATAAGTTTAACTAATATATCGCGTTTTAAACCGTTAAAGTGTTTTATTTAAATGTGTACTACTCGCGTAAACTATAGACAGTATTTAACAGTTCTTCTGAAACATGTTAGGCTTCGTCTGGAATAGACTGAAATGAGTGACGGCAATATCGAAATTCAATGCGGGTCACGAACCTCCGTCCACACATAATTTAAGTTAATTCACGTTTCGATTTCAGTCTGTGATTTCTGAAAAAGATGTCGACAGCGCGTCCTGATGTCTGGGACATTTCACCTACCATCGAGTGATTGTCTGTTCTCCTCTATCATAAAAAAATACCTTATGCCTTTAATAGCATATAAAATGTCTTCCTTTTTTAATTGTTTGCTCTTGTGTCATATGTGTTATAATATAATATCGTGTCTGTTCCCCTCTGTCATAACAATAACTTAATTAGATATTACAGGACTGCCGCATTTCGTTTTGACAAATACATTGTTACCTAAACGAAGGAATGACATTCCTTCTTAGCACCTATAATTGTATTTTATTTTTTAGTTCTAGTGACAAATACATACTAATATACTAGTCAAATTGTTACTAGCCCAACTAACTTTGAATAATAAATTATTTTTTCACCATCGTCAATTGAATCCTTGTCTGACTCATAAAATCGAGGAGCACGGGGTGGGAATGACTTCTAACTGAAAAATCGGCCGTCGGTGGGTGAATTTCGTGCGAGGTCACGCCTGCGTTCGGTAGCAGCAAGTGGGGCGTCGACGCGCGCACCCCTTGCGTGCGCCGCACACCCCGATCGAGTTTCTGTCCCGCGACCACGCTGCGGACTCACCGCTTCTCACTGCCAACGAATTGTTATTTAAACAGCGCTCCGAGAGTCTCCTCTCGTGAACGACGCTCATTATAAGCCGAACGCACATCGCATTCCGATTTCCATGCATGTTGGAAAGTACGAGTCGCTAGCTCCATCGATCGGCCCGTTAAAGCTAATGTTATCGTCGTTACATGATTATTTTTTCAGATTTTGTTGCGCTGTGACAAAGCTACGGTTAGCTACGTTTTGAGGAACCGAACGGTCGGTTCAGCTCCGAGTATATTGGTGCCGTCCTGTGCTTAGTTGATACAGTGAATTGTGCGGTGGTGTTTCACCGTTTTCGTTGCGAGCTTAAGCGATTTCTTTGTCGTATTTTTTTTTCGCTATTACTGTGAAAAACGCGATCCATGCTCGGAGTTATGACTACCATGGTATGGTTTCCTTTGTGTACATTATACGCCTAACATTTTCATAAACGTAGTTTAAGGACTCTCTATAGTAGCTATCGCATTACATAATCTAAAAGAAGCCTTCCAAACTTCGGTTGCTAAGAAATAAAACACAATTGTACAGTCATAGCATTGTCATTAACGAATTTATTTGAGTAAGATTAAAATAAAGCAACAAAGCGAATTATGCATAGGGCCATTAACAGTTTTCTTGGAAAAATCTCATTATAAAACAGAACACGTACGAGACAAAGCCACTCTTACTTTAGCCTAAAACAATGTCAACAAGAGTAGAGAGGAGAGACCTCAAACAAAGACACTTTACATCAAGACCTATATAATCTGTTCGTAGTCCATAACTTTACTTAATCTCAGTAGATCGAAGTCATTTTTCATTTTCTAATCGTGTAGTTAGATATTGCAGTATATCGTTTAGTTTTGTCTTCATTAAACGCTTTTAGTCTGTCAAAAATACATTAAAACAAACTGTCTAAACACTATGAAGGAATGTTTTGTTTAAAAATACTCTTATTACATAAATAGGAGACGCAGCTTAAGATTATGTAAGATTGCGCGTAGAGTAGTTTTTTAAGTTAAGACAAGTGTTTCCGTTCACACCCGCCGTTCATTTTACTTATATATTCTATTACTTATACTATATATGTTTATAAATGTGTATTTATATTATTTCATAAACAGGTTTAACATTTAATTGTCTTTTTTTTTTAATTGGTGGAAACAGGGAAAGCATACCACCGTATTATCAACTTAGTTCGTATTGTGTTTTATTAAATATTTTTCTCTAAAATTCTTAGTAATTACCGGTTAATTATTTATGTTTTAAACCTGGTTATGCAAACAAGGATTGCACTTGAACATAACATGATGTGAACAGTTTTTCTTTTCTGAAAACACATTAGTGAACGCTAAATGCGCAAACAAAAGAACAGTCTCAGTCGAAAAGTTGATTACACAGTTGAGGTCAAAGTGACGTCACGAAAAACAATTTAGGAACTAGGAAATCGGCGAATGTCGGGCCTCCAGTAAATATTAACTTTCTAAAGAAAAATTGAAGCTGAAAAGCGTTAAGAAAGCTGAATAGGCCGACTACCCGTTGACACAGTGTTGAATAAGGAACGGCCTCGTTTCTCGCTTTCAGGCCCTCCTCGTTCCAAACCTATATATATAATGTATGATGGACGCAGTTACTATAACCTGAAAATTTCTCATCTAGGCTAACTACTTGTTGAATTCCCAAATCTGAAGGCTAGGTATAATTACATAACACTCTTTTCTTGAAGCCAGATTAATTCGGCTCCTATATTCGTAAACCATACCATAGTACATACTTGTAGATAGAACTTGAGTAAATCCGAGAGTATAACATTACTAACGAGCCGAAAACCATCCAAACCGGTATCAGACGAACGAGTGGGGTTAAGCGCGCATCTATGCAAAACACGGCGATCGCCCTGCTGGAGTCGGCGTCGGCGTTCGAGAGGGCGGTGCTGGAATGTGAGCACCTGGAGGCGTCGGAGCACGGCGGCTTCCGGTGAGAGCGTTGGCGCGGCAGCGGCATGGAGGAGCGGCCGCCGGACGTGCCGCTGATCGTGACGCCGCCGTGCGCCGGCGCAGCGCTCCCCACCTCGCGGCGGGCCGCTTCGACGCGCAGCTCCCGCGACGACCCGCCGCCCTCCACCTGGCGCTCCTCGGTGCGTGTGCGCGACACCAGTTTCCGCGGCTCCCGCAAGAGCGTCGTACGACTCGAACCGCCCTGTAATGGCCTCAACGGGTTGCCCGCCATCGGCAAGGAGGTAATGCCCGTAACGCAATTGAAGTTCTCGTTTTGACCTTTTGTTCAAAGTTCCGGATCACGAAACCTCAGTGTGAGCTTTAGCTTGATGTTGTGTCGATGTTATTTATTTTGCTGCTAACCGCGCGATTAATAATGAAAATCCCACCCCTCCTAGCCGACTACTAAGGGCGGACTTCGGTTTAGGCCACGTCGATTCGTATTAACTTAACGCTGGTCCGCAATCCCGCGAGGCGAGGTCACAGCGGGATGTGGATGAGGAGTGCAGTGCTTCAGCACGCCCCGTCTAGCTGATAAATTTGGATACGAACGCGATCTTACTGGAAAGAACGTCGCAAATCTTGTGCCGTCGAGGTCGTACGACATTCCGATACGGATCGATCGCTTCCACATTTCCACTGTAGTGAAATAGCGGGAATGTTTTTGTGATTCTCGCGACATTCCGTCGCTCTCACGTGTAGCCGAATCACCAAGTGGCATGAATAGTTGTTTGATCTCCAAACTAATCCATATGTATGTCGTCGTACGTAGGTACTGACTCTTAGAAAAGTTCATCGTTTGTTATATTTGATATTGCAGGAATGTTGAAATGAGGTAATAAGTATTGTTTTGCCCGAGCATGAATTCATCAATGATCGAGCCGCCATTTTAAAACTCTCGAAGGTGCGTTTAACAATGACACGACGAAACGATAGACGCATGAGTTCCCTCTATTTTTCTTTTTAGTTTTGAAATTATGATTTCATTTGTTTATGAGTGACACGATACATTTTCATTTCTACCTGATGTAGGCACAGACTTAGATCACAGAGCGTTTATGACAGTAGGACCAAGTCAAAATGAATGTTAAGTTATAGGAGAATGAAATCAATGAAGAGTTTGTCTTGTGTTAAGTCTAAAGATAGTGGTTTTAGAAATAGTTTAACATCAAATATTATGGTATACAGGGGCATTATACTCATGGCATGTTTTATAATAAAATATGCATGGAGGAAGTAAATACTAAATGGGACGTACGGAGATGTATTAATGTATAAAGTAGAAGTACTTATGTGAATCCTTCTGTTTAGTACGTATGTATAGCATTTGTGTAGCCTATTAGATTTTAAATAATTTCTGTAGAAATTGTGAATCATTTTTGATGATTATTAAGGTGATTATGTATGATTAAGTAACAGCGCCTAAGCAGAACAATATTTTAAATTTGATGCGAAATTTTTATGAGCTATTTTTTGTTGTATTAAATGTTACAAATAAGTTTATATGATATAATAAAGCCATAACGCTTTTGTAAATACATGCATAACCAAAACAATACATTTAAGTATGTATCTCATGGATAAATGTGTTCATTGTCTGCAGGTCCTGTCTCTCGGTGCGACGGGCGGACACAAGGGAACCACCCAGCCTTCCCACCCTTGCACTATCCTCCACCACTCTCCTTATAAGGTATGTCGCATAATACAAAATGCCGTCTGTAGTTTACGTAAGTAGTACTCATTTAAATAAAACCCTTTAACGGTTTAAAACATCGGGCCGTAGTTAAAATAATTTTCAAATAAGTTTACCTAATATATATCGCGTTTTAAACCGTAAAGTGTTTTATTTAAATTTAAAAATACAAAATGGCTCAAAGCGGACGCAGGGTTTTCTATTTAAAGTGCACGAGTTGATATTAAATAAGTGTGGAGACGCAATGAAAAAATCGATAAGGCTAGACACGAATCCACGTCTGCAAAGTGCGCTGTCAAACGCATTTTTAAGTAACATAGATGTCGCTACTTCTTTTAACGGATTTCATCTTAGAGACTTAATTAACTGTGTAAAGTGTTTTCAATTATAAACCAGACTTTTATAATGACTAAATAGTGCGTGAAATCTCGTTATAATTATGGCAGACATAATTATGTGTCTGTACAATTTTTATATATTGATACATTCTGGTGTAACATGATTTAGATGGAGCCACCGACGCAGTCAATATGGCAGCTTCGAATAAAACTTTGATGAAAACTTGAATAATTAATAAAATGTCGGTCGCAACGACCTCAAATGCGACACGCAAAAGCGTATTAGCACGCTATTTTTCATAGCAATTATGTATACAGAAAGGCCTCATTAACTATGTAATTCAGTATTCAAGTGTTCGTAGGCATATTCGCTTTTTAATAGCCACGAGCGATATTTACTATATAACGAATGTATGCATGTTCCGACGAACTTGTAGGTCTACTGGTTGCAATTTATGCCCAATGCTTAACCGGGCGTGGGTTCGATCCCCACCAGATCCAACATGTTTCAATTTTTTTCTAAACTATAAAATAGAAAGATAATAAAGTAGAAATATAGAAATTCGGTCCGGGTCACGAACCACTGTCTACAGATGAAAAAACCGTGAAGTTTTCGGTTTCAGTCTGTGGATCCGAATATCCAACGCCAAAAATAGGCCGGCAGCACATCTTGTTTAGATTAAGTGAACCCCGTGCTTGTTTGTCCCTCGCTATCATTAAAAATATATGCTAGCGCCGATAGGCTTGTATGTCTGACAGGTGAAATACCGCAGCCATATGATATCTTCTCAAGATTTGCTGTCGACCTGCTTTGGCTTTGGATATTCGGAAATCAGTTAAAAAGTTTATTGGAAACATGTTAGATTTTGTCTATACCTAAACCTTGCGTAACTTAGATACACATAGTCATAGGGGTAACAGTTATCTTGTTTTTTATAAAAGACAATTACACCCATACTTGTCTGTGCGCCTCGTTTTACTTCACGGAAAACGAAATATCCCAGCCATATAACTCTCATGAATATGCGCTATCGATCTCTATTTTGGATTTGAAAATGGAATCTACGAAAAAAGAATTTGAATTCAAATTCGATGTTGTTGTTATTCGATTTTTGAAACATAAGTTTAACGGATGTATTTTTGTTTCAGGCCGCTTGGGATTGGCTGATCCTTATATTAGTAATTTACACAGCAATATTTACACCTTACGTGGCGGCGTTTCAACTAAACGAACCCGACTTTGACAAGCGCTCGCGCGCCTTCGGCCAGGACCCTATTGTTATTATTGATATGATAGGTAATTCGTTTTATAATCGTTAATTGTTTAAATAGATCCGACATTTCGAACGACTTGCAGTTGTAATCAACGATTTTTTTTTTTAATATGTTATTATAAACATATATAATATAAAATAATGCTAGTATAAACTGTAGATAGTATATAAAAAAGACTTGACGGTTTAAAAAGTCATTGGTTTATATTATTTAATTAAGACTCTTTGCAACATGGTACTTCCATTTTTTAACTCAACGACCGACTCGAAAACTCAAGTAGTTTTGCAAAATGGCCGCAAAAGTCTTATACTAGTAACTAAGAATTTTATGTTAAAAAGGGCTATATAAGGGTTGAATAAAAGGGATATAAGGTCCAGAATTTGTTACTTTAGTGTAATTAATATAACGAACAAAACATATTCTGAAACTTATAATATTCGACGATGACGTGTAGGACTCGGTATCTCAATTGTTTAGAGCAACAGCACGGAACGTTGTGGATGCTGATTTAGGTCTTGCCCGAGTCGTAAATTTGTTTCAAAATTTGTATTAAAACGTGTCTTTTTTTTACTGGATTCATAAAAAACAAACAAATGTATAATCACAACTTATTTGCTTGCAGTTGACGTGACATTCATAATCGACATCCTAATAAATTTTCGCACCACTTACGTAAATGCCGCGGACGAAGTGGAGTCGGACCCTGCCAAGATCGCCATGCACTACTTACGCGGCTGGTTCCTCATCGACCTGGTAGCAGCTATCCCCTTCGACCTACTTCTCTTCGGCACCGATACCGACGAAGTGAGCTTTTACACTCAACCATCCGATCATTCCCCTACACATAGTAAACTAAAATGCCTGATTCTTAGACAAGAATTGCTTCCAGGCATTAGTTGGAATCGACTAGGGTCCAGACAAGATAATAATTAGATAACGAACTCAGAAAAGATGGCACTGACATGGATGTCAATCTCATTCTCATCTTTTTCTTATCGTTCTATAATTGTCAACTCGACTTGGACCCTCATCCGTTTCTTTTCTTTCAGTTACACGTTTCATACGATTTGTGTAGGTATAACGCTAAACTAGGATACAGAATCTGTACCACTGTCCGTATTTCTTTAAATCCATCTTTCGGACAAACGAAGCACTGGATGATAAGATAGTCACGTGTAGTAGCGGAATGCATTTATGCATCTAACACTCTTAAATAACTTCCAACACTTCAATTGACCCATTAAAAATGCCGATCACCAAAAAGCCCTTACCTATGTTCTAGATGAAGCCGGTCCATATTATGTATTCACTTTTTATTTCGATACTTCTGCTGAATTTCTATCATGTTTTAATATTGTACAAATTATAATTTCATTTGTAATAAGTTCATTTTTGTAAAGTCGGTATATTGAGCCCAAGGTGGGTGCGTACTGAATTTGTATTACCGTTTCTTGTTACAGCAGGGGCTGGAAAGTGATGAGGTATACCATCTTTGTGAAGTATTTTTATGTTGCTGCCACTTTTTTTATTACATTTTAGTTATTGTTTAAATTACTTTCCAATAGCCGTTCTAAAACCACCAGTGAATGCGTTAATGGAAGAAAAGGACGCTTCCTAAGCAAAGCGTATGATTGTTTTAAATTTTACACTGCGCTGATACTAAATGCTCACTTGCAAACCACGAGCTTAGCCACCGGAGAGTCAGAAATGAGAGTAACTATAAAGGAATGTACTTGTATGACTAGAGTAGTAGCTATGACAGCGTCGACGCGAATCGATCGAACTGGCTAAACCAGAAAGTTCTCTCAATCGAAATATACCGATATATTTTTCAGGACTGTCTAATACCAAGGTGACCTTTAGGTCAATCACTTACATCTTCATTTAGCATGACAATATTTATTCATGTATATGCGATCCGACGGATCGATAACATTTTACGTAAATGAGAATTGAAATTATGATTTCAATAGACAGACAACGCTTTGGTATGCAACAAAATTTGGTAGTTAAAGATACCCTATATAGCTTCAGCATTTCATAGTAAAGTGCAAATCACGGAATGCACAAAGCTTGGTAGTCAATACGCTCACACTTCCCAGACGATAATATTTTGTACAAATCAAAAGTTGCCTTCACGACATACCAAGCACGAGTTATTGAAACATTATAGCACCCACCTTACATCAGAATATACAACTGAATCATTCATGTTACTTTTTCACATTTTGTTTGTACTCGATATTTTTGTCTTAACCGAAAATTGTTTGTATCGATCAGCGTTGCCAGGTTTGTGTCACTAAGGTGGGATTTTGGAACTCTGTTAGTTAAAAAAACGTTTTTTTTTGCCTTTTAAAGGTGGGGCTTAGTAAACAAAATTAGATTTACACTTTACAAAAAAAATTGTCCTATTTGTAATCTGAGAAAATACACCAACAAAATTTTTTTATTAATTTTCAGTTTTTCTTAAAAAGCTGATCAGAGCCTGTCAAACGCGGGACATTTAATTTTGATATAATTTTCGGGACGTCTGGCAACGCTGGTTCCGATGTTACCTAGTTTATTTAAGTCTAAGAATATTTTTTAACCTGATATTAAAACTTGTTTCTTTAATACTCAAATCTTTATACAAAACTGAAAGTGCAATGAATTAACAATATCTAAATCCTTGATATAATATAATGTTATCAGATATACGAGAATTAAGATTCTGAATTGAAAGCAATAAATGTTTTAAAATTGTTCATTTTGTTAATATCTTAATTATCAATACATATATAATATCATACGGTAGCCATACATTGTATGTATATAATTATGAACGAATTGGCTGAAATTTACGGCGTTTAGTAAGTATTTTTCATATTCATATATTAGTAAATTTTTGCTAGGCCTACAAACCCGTTAATCATTTTTTACGTTATCGCCTCTTACATTATAATATGTAATCGTACAATGAGCAATAAGAACCTGCACTTACGTCAGAAAGTAGATTAAGGTTTGGTAATTATCAGTGCCTTAGAGATAATTTACCCCAAGTATAATTAGCTTAGTATCTTCTATATTCTAGTAAAATCACATTGATCTGAGATTAAAATACCTGTTAGATTATTGCGACATTTTGCACTGCATTTGAAAGTAGGTATACCAGGGGTCTGATACAGGTTAACATTTACAAAACGATAATGAAGTTCGACAAGAAATGGATGGCATTTAGAGGTGTAAGATGTAAAGATGTCGGTATCTATTTCGGGTTCTCGCAAGGGCCACTTTTGGGCCCTTAAGTTTTGATAAAGTGAAGATGTGGTTGACACTAACGTCAATCGTCATGGTGAGTCCCGAGAAAATGTATGAAAACCTTTCCGCCTACACAGCTAAACGAACGACATCCGTTTCGTTTTAACTTCATTATTGTTAGGTGTTTGTTACTTTGCTAAGCCCCAATCTATATCAGTTTGCGAGAATCGCTTAGTTAATAAATCCGCAACATAACCCGTATGGCTGAAAGATATAATGCTCGTTGAGATTAGGTTTCCGCTTGATTGAAGTGTCTCGCTACTAGGCCTCGTTGACGCTCACTAGTTTTATGCGAACAATGCTTGAGTTCGAATCGCAGCTATGATATTGCTTGTCTTCCAGTTGCTTCTTCAATATGCTTTTTGATTTTGCAGACAACTACCCTCATTGGTTTACTAAAAACAGCGCGTCTGTTGCGCTTAGTGCGTGTTGCGAGGAAAATAGATAGATATTCCGAATATGGTACGGCCGTCCTCCTTCTTCTCATGGCTACGTTTGTTCTCATCGCGCACTGGCTGGCTTGTTTATGGTGAGTGATGATGATGTCTTCAAGTATTGGCGAATAATATAAAATACAAGTGCAATGTCTCAGTCTTTGAAAGTGGATTCCCGTTTCAGTATAAGGGCGAACAATGTCGGTTTCACTAATCGGTTTTAATCTCAAGCAATCGAGCCCAGGAGACGGTCTACGGTTTTACTAATTTATTCACAATTTTAGGCTTAGGCTTTTTTTTTAACTGGACTACAGACAATTAGTATTTAAAAAAATAACGGTTCAAAACAACGAAATATTCCATATATTATAACAAATTTTATCACATTTAGATTTTTTTTGTTACTATAATTATTAAAACAATATGCAATCTGCAGGTACGCCATTGGAAGCTGGGAAAGGCCCCAACTGCATGCTCCTATAGGCTGGCTTGACGCTCTCGCTAATGATGTGCAGGCTTCCTATGATAACTCTACTGGACCCTCCATGAGGTAATAAAAAAATATGTATCAAATTCTTTAAGAGTTTATTATCCATAAAGCATGGCGACAGACCAAAGAAATCGGCCGTCACCAGGCTATCTCACTGTATATTATGAACCGAAAGACGATTGACGAAGAAACTTGACAACTGTCTCATCTGTGCACGGTAGTTCGTGTGTACCCAACATGTTTCAGAAAAATCATAAATTGATAAAATAAAATATATCAATATTGAGAGATTCACACAGCATAATTTAGCATTTTTATAGATGCATACGAATTACACTAGGCATACGCTTTCACGGTACATTAACTTTTCATATTAAATTATTGATACGATAAATAGATTGGAAGCATATACAGACAACACCCCGCACCAACGGGTTACCTGCGTTCTTAGATAAATGAAATACAAAATTCTAACTCTTGTAATAATTTTCAAATCGTATTTATAAAAAAAAACTATTTTAACGGTAATTTAAGTACAATATATTTTAAGCCCCGACACGTCCCTGTGTGACTGAGGCTACTGAATAGCATCCGAAAAGTCGGGCCGTAGTTACTATGTTGTAAATAATTTAACTAATACATTCGCTTCAAACCGTTATAAATGTTGTTTCAATATATATTATTCGCATGAAGTACAAACAGTACTGAATATAATTAAATTTCACAATAAAAAGCTTTTAAAAGGTGAAGTCTGAGGCACACACATTCCTGTGTCCATTAAATTGAATTTGTTTACAGACAAATAGATTTCTAAGCCCTGCCCGACCGTCACAATGTATGGTTCGAACCCTAGAGTCCTCGCGCAACACGAAACACATTTTTTTTTATAAGCTTGAATATAAAAAGACATTTTGCAACGGAAACGGAAATTTCAGGTCCAGGTACATCACAGCTTTATACTTCACTTGTACGTCGTTAACGAGCGTCGGTTTCGGAAACGTAGCGCCCAATACGGACATGGAAAAGGGCTTTACGATATTCGTTATGCTCGTCGGATGTAAGTACTTTAGCGTCGTAAAAAATAATACGCAGATAGAAGATTAAAAAAGGGTACGAACATTAGGACCGTAGATTTTAGAAAATACTTAAACATTTTTTGTAATTAAATTTCTTCTGGTGCCCCCGTTACTGAAGAGTTAGTTACTTGAGTCTCTATCTAAAAATTTGTACATGTTTACGCGTGTACAGTGTGTGTATAATACAAGACAAACTTAAAATCTATAACTAATACTATACTATAATTACTTCAATGATGTTACAAAGAAATTTTTATTTGAAATATTATTTTGCACATTAACAAACAGCGATTAACAGATAAAAAATCTAAAGACAATACATAAAATGTAATTTCTTATCTATTGATCTGGCAACTGAGCCTTATATAGCCAATGGCCTTTTTATTTACTTAATCACATTTTTCTCTTAATTGCGTAATCATTTACCGGCTTGTATTTGGCATTTTAAAACCATATAGGTACTTTCGAACTATAGAAATACCTAATAAACAACAAATGAATAAAACACATGCGAACAGTCTAAAAACCAAACTTCATTACTCTATATTTTTGGCGTTCACTACTGACGTAAACCAGATTATAAAGATTAGGATAAGGGCCTGTAATTACTACAATTACTTCAATATTATTTGGTATTTTTATTTTGAACGTCATTAAAATACATTTTTTTGGTATCCGTCCATGCCGACTTCTCTGTTTGCAAGTTTTCCTCTACCAGAGAAGTGGTAATCCCACTAAAAATAACCTTGATAGGCTGTCACTACCCCAAAATGGTAATGACATTCGTTCCGCAGCCCCTGCGAGTCCATTCAGTAAACTCTAGGTGTGCCCGCGACTTCATCTGTGTGAAATAGTTATTTCGGGCATCGAAATTTATTTTTCCAAAGCTTTATATATACTAGCCGTTATCTACGACGTCGTCCGCACCCCGTATATACTGTAACGGTTTCAAGTCCTTTAAAGAAGAATCATTTTTTCACATTTTTTTGGTTTCTAGAACTCTTTTCGCAGCGCACTGGAAATGGAAGCGCTCAAAGATAAATAATTTCCCCGTCTTTTTTCTCACTACCTACTGTTTTTTGGTGACTATGGGTTGCAGCCTGTTATAAAACCTTCCGCGACAATTGGTCTATCCAACACAATAATTTTTTTTAATTCAAACCATTAGTTCCTGAGATTAGCGCGTTCAAACAAACAAACTCTTCAGATTTATAATATTGGTATAGACCAAACTTTTAGGACTGATGCCAGCCTAGGACGTGACCTAGTTTAACCTATCTTTACAAGCGAATTTGAAAGTTTTGTCGTGATGTGCAAATATGCTAAGTCACTTATCAATTAATAATATTTATCTTTATACAATAAATACTTCGACCTTCGTCTAAATTATCAATCTAGTTCACAACAATAAACCGCCTAGTTTATCTAATCTTCGCCTTCGTGAATAATAAAACATTTAAAACATAAATGATTCACAAATTGATGATGGTTTATCAATAAGATGGTTTTCACTATTGTTATCTACTTTATATAAGCCCGGCTTTCTTATGCAAGTCATATGTAAAATTTTGCAATAGGCATTAAGGTTTATAAATATAAAACTCTTTCCAGCGCCGCTAAAACATAGTTTATAGCATATTTTTCGGAATATAATCACGTTCATAATAAGATATTATTTACTTGGCAACACTGAGCGAAGCTACTTTCGTTCTGTCTTCAGAATATATTTTTGATTTAATACAGCTAATAGGAAAAATCATATATATAAATACAACACTTTGAACTGTTTAAAACGCGAGCTTTATTTTAAAGTCGGCATTTTGTATTTTAAGCCGTTTATAGAGCTTTATTTAAATGTATGCTACTCGCGTGAATTACAGACAATACAATTATATACCTGATTCAAATAAAGCTAACATATAACTCCAAATACTGTTTCAAGTATTGTAATATTATAAAAAAAAATATTAAAAGACAACAATTTGATATATTTGCTTCTATTGCCTTTGTTATAAGCTATTATATTATAGCGTCTTCTAGAAAGAGGGTAATAGTTAATCTTTTTTATCCCAACAGCGCTCATGTACGCCAGTATTTTCGGAAACGTCTCCGCGATAATTCAAAGGCTGTATTCTGGAACAGCGCGGTACCACACCCAGATCCTGAGGGTTCGAGAATTTATTCGTTTTCATCAGGTAAATATAACTTTACAAGTTTCGCAAATTATTAAAACCTTCATTAACAAATAGTTATTTTGTTTGTTTGTGTCTTGTAATATTAAGTAACTTGAATTTGGATGTTTGATTTTATCTGTAGCTACATTTTATTATGACATCTATGGTAACATATATTGTTTATAGTACAGTTTATGTTTTATTCTGTGACCTATATGTATATTTAGTCTGTGAATGTAGTTCCCACCTTTTTTTACGACGATGTCTGCAATTTGTCAATAATTATTATATTGGAATTTTAGATCACAAACCCCCTCCGTCAAAGACTAGAAGAGTACTTCCAACATGCCTGGAGTTACACGAATGGCATTGACACATCTAGTCTTCTCAAAGGTTTCCCGGAGTGCTTACAAGCTGACATTTGTCTTCATTTGAACCGAAATCTATTGGCTAGCTGTGCAGCTTTTGACGGCGCGAGTCCCGGTTGTTTAAGGTAATTTGTTTAAGTTCTTTAAAACAAAGTGAACATACAGTCTAATTAAAACGGACTTTTTTAATGAGTTCAAAACTAATTCATACGTAGTCGTTTACGCGAGTAATACATGTCAACGCAAACGAGAAATATATGAACTAACATTTAATTAACTGAATGTTTTTTTTTATACATAATAATAATTTTTTAAATATTGTATTACCGAAAAAATAAATTTCAGAGCATTATCTTTACGGTTTAAAACAACACACGCTCCTCCTGGGGAGACTTTGGTGCACCGTGGAGATGTACTCACATCACTGTTCTTCATATCCCGAGGCTCGATTGAGATTTTGAAGGATGACATTGTTATGGCGATACTTGGTAAGTGTACTAATTAAAAATTAAAAATCTATTTATTTATAGCAATGCGGCAACATGGGACGCTGTGGATGCCAGTTCAAGTCCCGGCCCAATTGTCCCGACACATTTTAATAAAACACTTTAAAGGTTTAAAACGCCATTTATATCAGTTAAACTTATTTTAACTACAGCCCGACGTTTCGGTTGCATTACAGCAGCCGTGGTCACGGGGAGACGGGGTCAGTGTTTTAATATTAAATAATTATTTTTTTACAGGTAAGGACGACATTTTTGGAGAAAATCCATGCACGCACACCACTGTAGGAAGAAGTAATTGTCGCGTTCGAGCCTTAACCTACTGTGACTTACATCGTGTGCATAGAGATGATCTCTTGGACGTTCTCGAATATTACCCGGAATTTCGGAATACCTTCGTCAACAATCTTGAAATCACATATAACATGAGAGATGTGAGTATAAGCTTTTTTCCTGAGGCAGACTTATTTTTGTGTCTGTTTTTTTGGTTTTATTAAAAATGAGAATGTTATCCCAGGACCCAGTTGTTAACAAAATAAGACATGAAAATATTAAAGTAATTATATTATAGTAATTTTACGATCGAAAAAGTTTTTCATAGATTTAAATTAGTATTGACTTAGTATTATTAACAGTATACGTTTAAATTAAACATTTTTAACGGGTTAAAACTTAAATATTTTCGATAACCTATTTACAATTAATTTTCTCCACGGCCCAACGTTTCAGTTGCTTTATGATGAATAAGTTAATTTATTTAAATATGAACCACTCGCGTAAACAACTGACAATACTTAACATATTATGTTATTTATAAAGAGTAAAGAGCCTTTTCTTCCAATTGTTTGTATGTTTGTACAAAATTATCTTAACTAATATATGAATATAATTTTCAGGAAGAACTCGGGGGCATAGAACCGAAACGCCGGATGCGGTATGAGAACCCGAGCGAGGCGAGGCTGCTACGCGAAGCCTATGCGCGCACCACTCGACGACCGCACACGGAAACATTCGCTGACAAGGTACTGATTTTGAGCGGCTATAATCAAAGGACTATCGCGGCCATCTTTTTGGCCCTAGTACTCAGATGTCCGAAAAATGAGTGACGTCACTAGTTCTAAAGCAAAAACAATTACTTAACAAACAATCAATTTGTCTCGTTCAGACGTCAAATAACAAGTTCTAGGGTCCACCTAAAAATCACTGTTGCGCCTTGTGCTCTACTGTTGTGAAGGGGGAGGGGGAGTTGTTTATACTATCTACTGAATAACGACTAAATCTAAGTGTAATTCATGTTTTAAGTATAATTTTATTAGTGAATAGAGTTAGACGATGGCGAGATAGATTAGACAGAGAAACAGCATGGCACGCTGTGGATGCCGGTTCGAGTTTCAGCCATGTCGTAAACTTTTTCAGTCTAAAATGATTTTTTTTTTAATTTTACGGCCATTTAAATATCGTTAAAAACTTTCAGATTTATACAATACTTTAGATTCAACTAAGAAAACGTTGCAACATAAGTAACATGGAGTGTTAAGATACTCAATTGCAAGAAGTTACGTTATACATAGTATTTTAACTTGTATATTATGTTGTATGACTCCGACACTCTTTTTAGAAAAGATTGTAAACAGATGTGGCATGTTTGTTTTGGTAAAGGGTGTACAAAAAAAATATGTCCTTTTCAAGATCTTTGCGATCACATAACCAATTAAAAGCCCTTTAAATAAACATTAAAAATGATTTACTATAAGATTTTTGTTCAGGATTCCCAATGCAGTGACGAAGACACCGAGTCCCCCCCAAGTAGGGGGATTCTAGAGTTCACCACGGACAAAGCGGGACAGGACGTAACCCCCCTCAACTTCAACTTCAGCAAACAGAGATCGACTACACTAAACTCCATAACAGGTAAACACTTTTATAACATAAGTGCGTATGATTCCTTACAACTTATCATGTTCTTATCAAGCATACCGGACATTAGTTATCAAGATTGCTACGTCGTTAAATTTATAACTAATATTCGGTAGTCTCTTATTCTTAGAGTAGTTGCACATAGAATCTGAATGGGATAATGTGCATAAGACCGAAGACAGCCCTCTTTTATTGTTTTATTTTTTATTATATTAGAGATGGGTCGGCTTTAACCGAAACCGAAGTTTGCACTTAAAAATGATTTAATGCTAATAAAAAATACAATTTAGTGCAATTGGTTACTATTTAATTAATTTAGTATTTGTTGGTTATAGCTTAGTTACAGTGTTCATAATTAAATCAATGTTCAAAAATCGATTTTTGATACATACAATTTTACGACACGTCCGGGTCTTGAATCGACAGCAGCGTTCCGTGTGACCAATTGAGCTACCGTGTCCTCGGATGATTTCCGAATTTTTTCAACCTATATATATACATACAATTCAAAAATGAAAAATATTAAAGTTTTCAAACGTTAAACTTTAAAATTTTATGAATGATTTTCTTAAGCTGCAAAGCATAGGACAGGCGTTAAGGTTAAAATTACATTGCGCGAGAGGTGCATATAATCAATAGATAAAAAACTTAGACGATGACGTTTAGGACTCGGTAGCTCAATTGGTTAGAGCACGGAACGCTGTGGAAGCCGGTTCAAGTCCTGCCCGAGTAAATTTTTTCAATGTATAATCGATTTTATTTATTTAAAAATAGTGTTTTAACTAAATTACATTATTTTACAATTCGATGTTGACAACCCTAACGAACTTCTGTTAAACTGTGAAATAAATGAACATCACTGACCCATCTCTACGATAATATGATTTATGTAGATTTTAAGAAACTCTATCCAATGTAAGATATGACAAATGGCACTTGTAACATAAAATATAAATCGCTAATTACTATCGTTACTGATAATTATAATAAGTTTACATCAATCATGTCGAGGTACTTTTCCAAGGTCAACGGAAGTTGTTTATTTGACGCAGCATGTATGGAATGCTTGTTCCCAATTATCCTGAATGACACGTGGCGTTGAGGATAAGATGGTTAATTGTTTTACCCATAAAATGCTTTGTCCCGAACGACTGACTCATCTATGAAAAGCATAAAGACCTGAAACATCGAGGATGTGTTCTTGGTATCCGATAACATAACAACCGAAACTCTAAGGGAGTAAAATAGAGGAGCGAAGAGTTAAATAGTATAGTTTACGCGAGTAGTACACATTTAAATAAAACACTTTAACGGTTTAAAACGCGATGTATTAGTTAAACTTATTTGAAAATGATTTTTAACTTCGTCCCGACATTTGTCTCCCCGTGACCACGGCTGCTGCAAAGCATCCGAAACGGTTTAAAACGTTAAAGTGTTTTATTTAATAGCTAAAGAGTTTGTTTGTTTGAACACGCTAATCTCAGGAACTACTGGTTCGAATGGTTAAAATATTTTTATGTATATAGACTCCTCTTTTAAGACTAACCACCAAGACGACAGGACGCCGACGACATCGTGGGTAACAGCCCTAATTTTTTTTATCTGTTTCCACAGAAAATTTTTTGTACCGGTCGCAGTCACAGCTAGTATCATACAACAATATAATATGTACATAATATTTAAACCTACTATAATATATACCGGAAATAGCAAACGTATGCGCAATTTTGACGAGAGACGTCGAAATCGGGACATCGCATACATGTATTACTCGAACACCACGTAACCGTAACCATGTTATCCTCACCGTCTTGCTCTGAGCGCGGCCCTTGTGTGCAGGCATGCTTGCGCACTTTAAACGGAGCTTCCCCGACCTCTACCATCATAAAACACACCAGCCGCTGCACAACAAATACTGTAAGTATTAATACTTCTATAGTGCACGTGTTTTTTTTCTTTCATTTCAATATTAGGCTCCAATATCTTGAAAATACTCGGGCATTTAGCAAATATTAAACATTTGCTAATGAAATACTTTAAACGGTTTAAAACGCGATATATATTATTTTAACTAGGTTTCGGTTGCTTTGCGGCCGTTACGGCAAATAAGTTAAACTAATACATTTCGCGTTTTAAACCGTTTAGCGTGTTTTATTTAAAAGTGTACTTACTACCTACAGACAATATTGAATCACTTGAAGGATGACACACGAAGTCCTTGATAGCTATGTTCTTGACTTATCATGGTAAGAATTGTACCGATATTAACTTTGCCTTCTAAATTTCAGCTCAGTCCACACCGCAGACGTACAGAGGCCGCGGTACAGTTAGACGTCAGTCCTCTGTGGGTCCACTTAACGATACGTCGCCGTTAACATCGGCAGCTGCCGGGGAGCCGGCTGTTAGCACCCCCGCACACAGCACCACCCTTCCCGTCTCCAGCCTCAGCACCAATCCCAGCTCCTATTACACGAACGCGTCTCCCAGCCCCCCGGCACCGGCTCCCGTTCATGTGTCCTGTGATGATATTCTAGCTCCGACCGCGCCTCAGTCCGTACGAACGCCGTCGTCCAGGTCGGCGCCGCATTCTGCTGTTAATCTTCACATGACAGGTCGACCTACAGCCCTTTTGTTCAACGGAGACAAAGTACACCAGGTATTGTAACCCAATAAAATGTTATAGATGTTTTCAGACTACGCTATAAGACTATATAGTTCTCAGCACAGCACGCACACCATACAATATTATTATAATCATTTTTTTATAGAGAAGGACTGGGCTTCTTGGGCACCATCAGAAAACCAGTTTTAATAATCTCGTTCACTTCCAATATGGTAGCGTACACGAATCCCGTTTTACATATTTAGACATGTGCCAGACACATTTCAGTGTTTGCTATCCCTAATTAATTGTATTTTCAAGCACGAACATATTATTTTTCCTAGCTTCAGACCCAGAAACTTTCGCGCTAAGCGGTTCAAACGGGGACCACCGTAATGTAGTCTAAAACGCCTATTTCCTTATTTAGGTCAGATAAATTAGCAAGCACTGTCGATATTATAAATGTGAAAGTAACTCTGTCTGTCTGTCTGTTACTCTTTCACGCCAAAACTTGAACGAAATTTGGTACACAGATGGTCTAGACCCTGAGAATTGGCTATATTTTTATTGCGAAAAGGGTTGGTGAAAGTTTGTATGGGAATTCGTGGTGTTTGAAGCTAGAACAATGAAACTTTCTTCTTTGGCTTTTTGGGAATAGGAGTGGGAGTGAGAGTTAGAGTGGAAGTTAGAGTAGGAGTGATGTGAGGTGAGAGTGTTGCCGCAAAGTAGCTGTTACAACATAGATTGGCTGCGATAAATGCGCAATGACATAAATTAATAAACAGTATAAATAATTAAAAATCGAGTCACTATTCCACGCGAACGAAGTCGCGGGCACAGCTAATCACATTTAGAGTCTTTAGTTTTATGCTTTTTACAGGATACGGTTTCACCTCAATACCAAAATGTCGGAACAGGCGCAACGGCTGCATCCGTTACGACAATATTGACGAGACTGGAAGAGCTGAGCAGAAGAGTAGCCGTCCTAGAAAACGGCCTTACAGCAGATGTTCGAAGGATCCTGCAGCTGTTACAAGCTAGAGAACTGCCGCATCACAATTCGGCGCCTGCGCACACTCCGTCGCAGCCTTTGCCCAAAGCATCGCTATCGGTACCTCAGAATCACGATGTATGTGTATTTTTCTATCAACATAACGTTCGTGTTCACAAGTAGTACGCATTAAATAAATCTCTTGTTAACTGGTTACATTACCAAACCAGTGACTATGGCTGCTGGATGCATGCATAATTAAATGAAGTTTAAAACGTTTTAAATTGTTAAAAGTGTGTACAGTAATGTAGCACAGTAATAAAATTAATGATAATTATATAATTCTTATTAGATTTTTTTAATGATGTATACGAGAAAGGCTTCAGGATTCACTTGATGGTAGAATGCATTTTGTATGACCCCAACCATATAGCATCAAAATCTATCGACCTATTTTAGCTTTGGATATTTGGAAATCCACAGACCAATACGCGATTAAACTTAATGGTACATATGAGGACAGTGGTTTGTGACCCGAACGGAATTTATGTACATACATTGCTACCATTCCACCAACTAATCTGTCAAATATATCCAATAGAATCAATGGGAATGGAACTGGAACGGAGAGCGCGAGCGGGGCGGTCGAGCGCGTGGTGAGCGTTTAGAGCGCACTCCGGGAGTACAAAGGTCCGCCTCAGAGCCGCACGCGCCTGTTCCGCCGGCGCTGCCGCCGCCTCCGCACTCACACTCCTTTTACAGGTAAGTAGTATTAGAATAAAGCACTATCAATATAAACCGAGAGAATTTAACTTCTTGTACAGTGTCGTTCTTCTTCACATATTTTAATTAATTCAAAATACTTCATTCCATTTCAATATATTTTATAATTTAGACTATAAGCAAAGTTAATTTTTATTTAATTAAATAGTTTTAATCGTAAACAGGTAGTGTGAGGCAGGCGAGACGAGCGCTTCTCGCTCCCGGCCATCAACGCGCTCGCTCGCAGAGTCCGCCTCGTGCGGCTCGCTGGGCGCGCCCGAGCCACCTGCGCCCGCGCACGCTACGCGCCCGCCCACGCGCTTTCACTTCTGCCGGCGCATCGTTAACGACCGCTGCGACGACGCCAGAACCTTCCTCTAACGCGCCCATACGACGCATGGACCAATTTTATACTTTCCTTCATGAATTGAGTCGTCCTCGCCGAGTGGAGTGAAAACGAGTATCCACTTAAATTGCGCTAAATCGAATGAATCATCAACTTTAACAATTCGGTGAATACGTAAGCAAATTGAAATATGACTTTGGTCTTGCATAGTCAAAAAAATTATTACTGGGTGTTGATCTTTGTGAGATAGTGCTTACTCTGCGTCGTCTTTCAACGTAGTGTTAAATGCGTTTGCGCCGTTACCTGACTGAAGGTTTTACAAATGTTTCGTTACGTAGATGGGATTTTGTTTCTGAAAGTTTAAACTTATCGATCATGAATGTTGAGTTTCCACATCGCCCGCAAGAATTACGTTAATAAGACTGAGGTAAACTCGTGAACTGTATTTCCAGAAGAGAGTAAACGATAAACGCTTTCTACCCGTCCTTGCTCCTTGCCTTTACAATGTAGCTAGGTTATAACGAACACTACTTTGGTCAAATTTGAAATGCTCCTTGTGGAAGTGCGTTTATGACAAATTGACATTATATAACAATTGACATTATGACAATTGACATTTAGATATAACTCATGATGAATTCAGTGTCACATAACATTTTAGACGTTTTAATTGTATATTTTTGATTATGTACCCAAACTTTGACTGAGAACGATTAATCGATATTATTTTATAATCAGGCATCACGGAAGAGAAATTGTTAATGGTGGCCACTAAATTAGTACTTATTACTAATTATGTATCGGAGTAAATGTCATCATAAAAGCTAGGTTATGGCTCAAAAGACTATCATTATAAGATAAGGCGTAGTTAAGACATTTTGCCAATAATAATACATTAACATTATAAGCAATATTAAGGCCCACCATGTATAATAAATTCTGTGGTTTATTTAACTTTATGCACGAGTCGGGTAGATGAAACGAAATTAGGATGTGTGTGAATTACACCACAGAGTATCCGAAAACATGTTCTGTCAAACAAATGAATTACTATCTGTAATTATGCTGCAAGCATTTTATTTGACACTATTTTCAGTTCACCACAATTACTCTTTTTCCAAACTACACAAACCCTATTTATTAAGCGTGTGTTATGGTAGAATGCAATGTTATGATGAGCTTTTTAGACTTAGTGGGAAATACGGTTATCTACCAACCTACAGTTAATACCAACATTGACCTAAATGCTTGTATACAATTATTATTCATTCAGCCACAGATAACATTCACTCCCAACATTATTCCTTTTAAATAAAACACTTAACTGTTTAAATCACGAAATATATGTGTTTTAAACCGGTAAAAGTGTTTTATTTAAAAAACAGACAATACTTTTTCTTTTAACCTCGTGCTTTCCTACGTGGAGTACTTAACACAATGGTTTAATCACATTTATAGAAACCTAATATTAGGCATTCTAGTTTCATAAGTGTGTCAATTTCAATATACAATTTCACTCAAAGCTTTACCTATCTTTAGGCTTCGGTCTCCTATAAACATTGTAGGGCTTGGGATCGTAGCTTCATGTTTTCGATAATTTCACGGGCCGTTTGGCCACTGTACTACAAAATATTGCCCGAAAGGGGCGACAGGGGGTCACAGCTAACTGGGGCACATAAAACCTGGAGTCGGCAGCATGTATCCCTCTCTAGTCATTACGAAGAGACTAGATCTACAGTGTTTATATAAGACCAAAGCCTTAATTAGCCGCTTTGCTGTAAAAATCTTTCTATTATTCGCCACGCACACGTATAGATATCTTTGTATCATAAGAGTTTTATTTTTTTTTATTAGAAACAACTGTTAAGTTAGTACTGAGTTGTGTATATAAATTAGTGTATAATGTATGTATTTAGCACTGTCAACGAACATTTCTTACACACGACACAAATTTAAACTTATTGCATACAACATTATTGATTTTCAATTGTCTTTTCTCTAATAGAAAGGTGTAAAGCACAAATAGACATCCTTTGAATACACGATAACAACAAAGTTTGAGAAAGACGCCATCTGTGTGTTCCTTAAATTTTAATTTTAAAAAAGATTGAAATATTTGCCTTTTATTCTATTTGTTGGTGGTTTATGAAAAAAAAACTAAGTAAAAAGTAATTAAAATGCGCAACGCGAGTAATTTTTTTCAGCTTTAATTATAATTAAGATCAATAAAAAATATCTTTAACAACAGGTAAATAAGCACAAAATTTAATTACTAAAGGCTTATAAGATATACTTAATTTAATAAACTTGCATTTGTTACCTTCTTTATTACGACATTACAAATGGATAGGGAAGGAGACATTATTTTTAAACACAAATTACTTTTGCTTTAAATTTTAATCCATCATCTGCGTAAATCAATAACTAGACATATTTAGATAAGCTATCCACACGCAGTCTAAGTATATAAACATTTAGGGAGAAATTAAAAATACGCAATTATAAATATAGGAGTAAAATTTTGATATCCAATAACGTTGGGTAATATTTGATTACCATAGTACTATTTTAATTCAATAATTGTTTTCATTATCTATAATTAATCAAAAGTTCGCAGATAAAAAATGCGTTCGCGCTTCACAGCACAGGGTGTTTTTATTTACGGTTTTAGTGCTAAATAAGGTATGTACTATAAAATTTAAGATTAACTTATTTATTAATTTAAGAGCTCTCGTCATTTTATCATAATTACAGACATTCAATAATAATAATAAACAAAAAAAAAAACACTTTTAAACATTTAAAAACAGACAGCATATTTGCTGTATAATTTATGACGTTTATTTCTAGTTTATTATTGATCGATGATCACAGTCAATATAACTGAACCCAAATATTACATTTTACAATAAATATTTAAATCTTGCCTTTAATACTTACTAACTTATTAATTACAAGTAACTTTGTTTTGATTTTTACCTAAGCGAACGAGGAACTTTATAGATTAAAAATCTCATGACGCGAGCGGGATCCGAACGCACAGAAGTGCATTTATGGACGCCCTCCGATCGTGGGGATCGTGATCGTACCATATACGAACAATATTATTTGCAAACTTGTAATGCTTTATTTCTTTCGTGTTATTTGCCATCGACGACGCACAATTTTAACGATAAAACAAAGAGAATTACGTGTATTAAAAGATTAACATTTAATGTACAAATAAATTTCCCGTTTATTGTAACAGTATTTTACCAATAAATTGATGTACTCAAACTAATCTATAGAAATATATTCATATTATTTAAGTGCTTGACTATGTCGGTACAAAGCGGCAATTTTGAACTTTGAAGTTACTTAATTTAAATTTCTACAAGACTCTGTCAACGTTTTATGAAATGATTTTAATTATATAACAACAATAAACTCACTACCATACACATTGTTGTCCTAGTATTATGTACGATAAGTTAACTAAATTTATAATAATTTAAGTATTAATTGCGCAATTTAAAGTGTGCATAATAATTAGTAATTTTGTCTGTGATCGAAAATTAAAAACGTTAAGCTGAAATTAAACGCACTTGTACACTTCTGTATTCATACATTCTGAACTTGTACTCATTTACCAAGAAATTGAAGTATACAAAGAAACAGTTGAATTTTAAGGGTAACAATATTAAATTATTCTGGTTTCAAAATATAATGCACACTAAGTGAATATTTACGTAGTTTGTACTATCTGTGTAAGCTAATGACGTCACTGATACTCCAGTCACGTGACCCGGTTGGCAAAAAAAAACGTAATTTTTCCAAAGATGAAAGAAGATAATGCCTTGCTGTCTTCAATTGTTTTGATTCGGCAGAGCACAAACAGTAAGAGACAATAGTCGAAGTTAACATGACAGTAAAGAATATTTTTATTTCCTATTACATAAATAGAAAGCCCGATCAGTCCACATTATCAGCAAACCATTTCACCAATTTTCCAATTCCTCCCTTGCTGTGGAATTTTGGTTACCCAATTCTATGTCCCCTGCAAACCTACCTAATTGTATTATTTGTTTCATCTTTGATTCTTTATTTTCATGTACAGCTATGTCGTAAATTCCCACATGTGTTTGCCTGTCTAGAATACGCAGAGCATTCAGTGAGTAGATAGATGCTAGTTCCCCGACACTTGACCTTAGGACATAAAGGGTCGCCGCTTACCATTATTGCAAGATCTCTGTTTAGACAATGTCTTGTTATGATATCTACAATGAGACGAATAGCCGCTCTCGTTAGTCTTATCATGTTTTTCGTCCTTTCCTACTGTTTTATGCCTGTCGTTAACTCCCATCTTCGGTTGGATTTTAAAATACTCCGCTTAATTACTCCAGTGACAGTGCGCATACTATGTTTCAGAAAGTATGAATGCTTGAAAGCTATTGAAGTACATATTGTTACTATATTTAATTTTATTTATCTTACCTACCTACGTACGTATACGTTTTGTTAAACAAAATATAAATCTAAAGCATGTTGCGTGGAGTCAGTCGTAACCAAGAAATATATATTTAGGTGTATTCTTATGATTAGTCCCATAATGTTCATTAGATAGTATATATTTACGAAATCTTGATTCTGTAACAAAATGGCTACCTATTAAAATAGTTTTATATAGAGTAGGGCTTGCGTGTCTGTGTGGGGGCTTAAAAAGTAATGATAGGTTCAAATTATCTTTATTTATGTATAATCATTCGCAGAATATTGTTTATGGTAAACTACTAGATATTTATTTGATGTCCTAATATACAAAGTTATCAAATTTCTTATTTTGGAAATTTGATGGACGTATCAGATTACCTAATGTTAGCTGCGTAATTAATTTTTGTTTGTTATCAAATTTTTACATTTGAGTCTATCAGTACATATCTTTATCGTCAATTTTCTGTCTGATTATGATGCTTTGTCAGTTTTCCGTTATTTATATGTACTCTGGATATTAATTATGTGGTAGGAATAACGAAATTCCATTGGAGTTATATAACACCGTCCACAGAAAAGTCGTGAAATTTAATCGCTTTTGGGTTTCAACGTGTGTTCTAACATGTTTCTAAATATCCAAAGCCCAAATGATCGACGGCATCTTGTTGACATGTTATATGACTGGATCACGTTCCATCAAGTGGACGCATGCTTGTCTGTTTTTCTCTATCATAAAAAATCTATTTCTGCGTGTTCATTATTTCGTTCATTTTTAAACATATACGGGACCTTCTAATGCCTGACAAACGGATCGACAGATCAACAAACTGAAATATGGGCGAATTCTTTGTGTGGCAACAATACCAGATATTTCATATTATATTGCTATTATTTCTTTAAGGGATTATAAAATCACATGTTAACGAGAGTTATGCCGCTTGTAAATGTACCATACGTTACTTTCGAGGCCCCCACAAAAGCAGGGCTTATAAACCTTTTTGTAATGTCATTAACATTAGTATTTAACCGATTTCTTAATCGACGCTTGCTTCGCAATCAGTTTTAGATATAGTGTGTGTAAGTTTTTCTAGTTCATAACTTATTGCAACGATAACATTCAATTTTACTTTTCGTCTACAGCTTAAAAGTTAAAGGCTAAGTCGTAAATTTTATACAATATTATAATAAATGACAAATTGTTCGTTATTGTTAAGTATGAACGAACTGTTATTAATGTAACATAATATTTATTATTATGCGTTACTAGTCATTTGTAATTATACAGAGCACATTAGCCATATTATAGTTAAAGAAATTTAAGCAGCGCAAAAATTCTCGTTGAAAATCTAATAAATTCAGTGAAAATAAAATATCACGCACATGCGATATATTCTTTTATTTATGTTCCTGTCAGTAAATAATTGTAACGAAGACTACTATTAATTAAACACATTGTCACGCGGACAGACGTCTCCGAAAAAATGCACATTACTTCCTTGCTCAGTACAGCGCAAAATAATATATCTCAATTACGACGATCCTAAAGCTTTAAACTCGTCGTAGTAGTAACTCAAGTAATCATTTAGAATTTAGTTGAGGAAGCAACAAAGGTTAATTATTTACCTGCAACACTGCCATAAATTAAAAATAGACACTGTATATACTATACCATACCATACCGTAGACACTTGACAGATAACATCTGTCAAGTGTCAGGCCGTTTGTTATTGTTTGTTCATACATTATATTTATAACCTCATCGATTTAAACAAAAATAAGAAGTTAAATAAGGATAATATTGTTAATGTATATAAGGTACTTGATAATAAGAAACGAGATTTTAAACTAATATGTAATAATTAAGTCATAGCTCCAAGAAAAATTTGAAGGCTAAAGACAAAATTTCTTATTTGGTTATTTGAATTGAAAATAAAACAATATATATTTTTTTGGTTGTGTCCTGCCGGTGTTATCCATGGAGAATACAGAAACACCAGTAAAATGTTATAAATGTCGTCATGTATTGTCTTTAATCCTTAATGCAAAGACAGCAAGCCTGACATGCGTATCTAATACATGCGACAGTTACGATTTAAAACAATTTATATATCTTCCCGAGAATAGCTTACCTGAATGGATCCGAAATAAAATCGAAGAGGAACAATGGACTAAAGGAAAATTGCATTGTGAGAATTGTGGATGCAAAGTTGGTGCCTTTGATTTTGTGTCCGGAAGACAATGTGGTTGTAGAAGCTCAGTGTTACCACCAGTGTATTATATTACAAGCCAAGTGGATATCCCTATGGTATAAATATCTAAAAAGTTGTTTACAAAATCTTGTATTTATATTTTTTTTTCTACAACAATTTATAAGGATAAATAAAATAATACAAAATTGAATATAATACATTTTTATTCAACGGCCATACAATCTGGTACAGCTTCATTTACTTCAAGGTCCCTGCATTTAGCTGCTTGGAGCTCTCGTCTTATCTGTAACAAAATGGTTTAAAATAATAATTAAAATATTACACAACACATGAGATTGCACATTCACAGTTTATACCTCTTGTGTTATTGTTGGATGACTTTGTTTTCGTAATAATTCCAATAACGCGTCCCTTTGCTCAGTAGAAATGTCGGATTTGTACCTCTGTACAAATGTTAACAATGCTTGATGCCACAGCACAGGTAAAATTCTATTATCATTGTTAAATCTAAAAATAAGTTATTTATATAATTTGAATAATTAATACATTAAAAAGTAGATACATAAATTTGTTTACCTTAAGAAATGAAAAACTACAGAATCAACAACCCTATAGGGCAGAGCATATTTTTTATCAAAGAGAATACGCAGAAATATTGAGCTAGCCCCAGTGTAGTCCATTTCAGCTATTTTTAACATGGCTGCACTTGAATGGAGTACAGGAACTGAGTTTCTAGCCAGAACTGATCCCACAATAATAGCTTCTCGCAAGGTGCAGTCACCAGACTGGAAAACATACAGAATATATATATTTCATGTACAGAATTTAAAAATGGGTAAATTTCTCCAACATATATATTATATTGTTACAAACCTCTAACAATGGTAAAAGAATCCCCTTCATAAAAGCTCCAGGTTTAAAAAGAGCTTTCCTCAAAGCTTGATAAAGATGGAAGTTTAATCTTTTATATTCGGCTAAGTCATCTCTCACCCGTGGCAGCAAAACTAAATTATAAAAACGTTGTGCCATCTTTTCTTTGAGATTTGATGCAAATATTCTTGTTGCCTGTCAAAAACATATAATGTAGTAGTAATTGTGACAATTCAACAGTGAATGTTTAGAAAGATATGTACCTGGTACATTGCAGCAGCAGACCAAGTAGTAGGTTCTGTTATGTAAAGGATTTGTTCCCAGTTTTGAAGATGAGGAATCATTTTGAATGCTTTTGGCAATTTTCCTGATCTATACTTTTGTAACACATCTCGAACACCTTCGTACATAGTTTTTATTCTGAAAATGTAGACTTTCTTAACATACTATTTTAAAAATTCACAATTTAAATAAGTATCCAAATCTTTACAGAGTTCTGCAAATACATATATAATTAATCACTATTATTAACATTACCTTGGATCAATATTTTGAAGCTTCAAAGTCTCTACATCTGAAAATTGCGTCTGAAGTTCTGTGTGTTTATCTGTAATTTTGTCTTTGATTATATCAGCTAGTGTCCTTGTTCTTTCAGGTTTTGACGACATAAACATATTGATAGCAGCTTCATCATCTTCATTAATTTCTATGTTATCATAGTAAACATCTGGTTCAAGATCATCATCGGATCCTTCATGATCAGAACTTAAATCTACAAAAGAAAAATTACATCAGTAATTTTATACAATAGTTCTGCCTCCATAAGATGTAATTAGAAACTATAATATCATCCAATTTAAGGGTTACATTGCTACATTTAATATGACTAATAAATGATGTTGTCTTTAATAAATCTTGGCATGAGCAATAGTTACTGTTAAGTAGTAAATCAAGGTACCATGAGTGGTTTACATCTATTATATTCAACTCGAATGCTATTTACTATTGACTTCATCTACTTACCATTGATGGATAATGGGAGTATGTTTTTAGATGATGTTGCTACATTATCACTCAGTTCTGCTTGTTGCCTTCGCGCTGCTTTTAAGATCTTTTTAGACAAATTTGCATTCACAAACTGTAACAAAGCCAAAAATATAATAGTAGTATGAATGATTCAAATAAATAACAAAGTGAATCCCAAATATATTGACATACTTCTTCATCTTCATCTAGTCTGTTTTTATCTTTGCTTCTGTTCTTGATCTTAACCGAATTTGTAGCTTCAATTTGGTCAGCAAGACCTATATTTTTTGCCACCTGTGATGGTTTGAGTTTCTTTGCCTTACCCATAATAACTTCGTATTTTGTAACACTTTTATTTTATAATAAATCCAATGATATTTAATTGTTATTATTCCAAGTAATCACTGTTTTTGGAGAAAACACGTGCTATATGAAAATAAGTTGCGATTTATGACAGCTGTCACTCTTGACAGTAATCTCGATTTAGTCTGTGTCTTTTTACATACAATGTGTTGTCTATAAACGATAAAAATGTATAACGTAATATTATTATTTTTGGAATTAATTAAATAGTACATATTATGTAACTAAAATGTATTTCCGAAATATTATATCCATTTTAATTATTATATTACATTTAAATTAGCTTATTGGTTTTATATGATTCTCAGATACTATAAATTAACAAACAGAAAGCTGCAGTTTTAACAGTTCCTCAAGTACCTTATAAATATGGAATATAATAAGGCTTCTAGAGGTAGAGTGGCCTAAGAACAAAAAACATGATTTTCAATTAGGAGGAACAAAATGCGCAATTAACTAAGGCGAAAATGAATTTGTTAACAACTTTCGGTCACTGTGCTCTTATAGATTAACATTTTTAGACTATAAAAATATGATTAACTCATGTCATAAAATTGCAGTTAGGGTACTCATATTATGTTCTTTATCTTTCATAACATTTATGTAGATCGCTTTATAAAATAAAGTATGTACAAGAATAAAGTCTGATCTATTTAAACTTTATGTATTTGAAAAATAAATGTCGTCGATAAAACAAAAACAATAAAAACGCTTTTAAAAAGTTTATTGCATTCTTGTGGTTCAAAATTAGTTAAAAGCTTCAATTTGCGAGATCACATCGCGAATTGCGCCATTTATTCCTGTTATAACAGATTGCGCGACGCTGCGGATAGTCAATTCCACAGTAAACATTATGATACCATTGAATAATGTAGTAAAAACTCCGATTACGGGGTTCAGAAGCCAGTCAAAGAGAATATTACCACGTAGTCTTACTCGCAGGCGTCTGTTAACAAAGAATATTTTAATAATTATTAATTACGATTGATGTATAGGACCATACATCAATCAATCAGATATTAAAATCTTTACATTATATCTAAGTACAAAGAAAAAATCGATTACAACGATTATCAAGTTATGGTACATCATAAGAATTACAGTGTGTGCAACCAAGCGAATATGTTTTTTATGCGCATGAGCTGGTTTTCCAGTAGACATATGCTATTGTTTTTACTAACATCAAGAAACAAGAGGTTAGAGATATTTAACATTTTTTATCACAATGATTACATTACAGTCTAAGTGCTGGCGGTGCGCTATAATAATTATATTAAGCTGAAGAGTTTGTTTCTTTGAGCGCGCTAACCTCGGGAATTTTGATCAAATGAAAAATTGTGGTTGTGTTGTTTACAGCAGCTTGTTACATTCCTGTTACAGTAACAGGCTCTGGGTGATCCAAATGTCAGGCAAGAAGCAATAAAATAATTGAAACACAACACACTTTAATTTACTAGAGTTAACTTACCCGACATCGTTCAGCTTAAATTCTTGTAAATGAATCTCGTCGTTATTAAAATCAATCAATAAATCAGCAACGACTCTGAAACGATCCAGTGATCCAATAATGCGACCGGTGGGTCCAATGTTCATTACCTGAACTAGGTAATTATAATTAAACTGCAAACAAACAGTAAAATGTTATCAACGAATACAAATTTCTGTAATGCCTTTTAAAAACGTCGTAAGTAGCTTAAAGAGACTCGTTTTACGAAGTTTAACATTGTGCTATTGTTGTCTCTTACGCTGACGTATTTATCTCTTTGTATATCAACGTAGTATTGGAAGCGATCGTTGTTTGTTAGACGACCGAACACGAGCGGAACACAAGCGGGTTTTTTGGAGTTTAGGTATATAGGCTGCTAGAGGCAGAGTAGCCTAACTGCAATTTTATGACTTGAGTTAATTATATTTTTATTGTCTAAAAATGTTAATCTACGAGAGCACAGTGACCGAAAATTGTTAACATAATTCTTACAGAAATATCTAATGCTACAAATTCATTTTCGCCTTAGTTAATTTTTATTTCCCTCCTTATTGATAATCATGTTTTTTTTTTTTATTAGGCCACTCTGCCTTTACCAGCCTTATATGTAAGTAGTAAATATTCGCAGGCACACTTTTCATTTTAAATTAAAAAAGATGTTTAGAATCTCATTTTATGTGATGAGAAAGATGGTTTTCTCTTTCCGACATGGACAGACTAACGTCCTAGATTTAGTTATTAATATATTTTAAATTATTCTATAAAGTGCTTTAGTACAATATATGTACATGTATTTAAATGCAGTGTTTTTTTAATATCCATCTGTCTCCAGAGACCAGTAACCTCAAGATAGAACCGTCCAACAGGATTCGTTGCCGCTTTCGTCATACGCAGCGGTAAATGTGGACGTACAACGATCACTGAACTCAAAGCAAAACTAAAATCAAGAACAGACAGAACGCAGTCGAGCACGAACAAAATGGTTGAAGCGCGCTCTATCTCGGCTTGTAAGACGGTCAACAATAGACGAATTGTGTCCCTTTGTGTGTTGTGTAACAATGCTTGGGGTATGGAGAAACCCGCTCTAACAAGATGTAGGTACACACTGTTTACGCGAGTAGTACACATTTAAATAAAACAATTTAACGGTTTAAAACGCGATATATTAGTTAAACTTATTTAAAAATTATTTTTAAGACTTTTCGGTAGCTTTGCAGCAGTCGTGGTCACGGGGAGACTGACCACGGCTGCTGCAAAGCATCCGAAACGTCGGGCCGAAGTTAAAAATCATTTTCAAATAACTTTAACTAATATATCGCGTTACGTTAACCGTTAAAGTGTTTTATTTAAAAGATGTACACATTAAGAGCGTAAGGATTGTAACAACTTGACAATAAAAGGAATGGCGGCGAGTTTCTTGCTGGTTCCTCTCATTCGTTGTACGCCCTCAATTTGGGAACTGAGAGTAACTGTAAATTTAGAGTTTAAAATTTGAACTGTCAAAACAATTCATAAGTGTACCTACTAGCTACCTACGTGATTAAATATTTTTTGAATTAATTTCGTCTCTCGTGTTCTGTTCACCTACGACCTACCTTAATATGGTAAGAGTTGCCTACTGGAAACTAATAAAAGGCACTTTTTGCGGCGTTCATAGATGAACGCAAACTTATGGAGTGGAAAACTCACACATAATAATAATTACGTAACCTAAAATACCTCTAGATCATTGAACTGTAGGTGTACGCGAACTCGAAGATTTTTTGCGAAATAGTTCACTTTCTGGTCTTCAAATCGTGTAACGTTGACGAGGCCCGTCATTGCTCCATTTGTGAGTTTCAACCAAGCGCTGTACGTGATTAGAATCAGACGCTAAAATGTACATAAATATTAAGGATATAATACTTTGTAATTAATATGCATTACAAACTAAGATATTATTACACTTTTTACAAATAAATGTAAAGTATTGTCTGTTATTTACGCGAGTAAACATTCAAATATAATGTTAAACGTTAATAAAACACTTTTACCGGTTTAAAACGCGAATAATTTATTTTAACTACGGCTGCTGCGAAGCACTTGAAATGTCGGGGCGTAGTTGAAATTAATTATAAATTGGTTGGTACATTTTAAACCATTACGTGTTTTATTTGAAGGTAATGTAGGTAGTGGGTAAACTTTACATATTCGCTCATGAGTACACTATTAAATGGAAAGATTTTAAATTAAAATTAGTTTAAAGTCTAAAATTTAAGTTTCAAAACTGCATTTATGAAACATTAGGATTTTAATTAACTTTGTTAAGAATATTAATTACTGAAACAAAGATGAAAGTACCACTTTGGTGAAACGGGGCTTTACTTTATCTTAATAAGACATATTAAATATCTACTGAAAGAAGCTAAACACTTACTACTTCAAATCCTTCGACAATTTCGGGCAAAGTCATTGGATCGAGGCCATTATTTACCATAAATGGTATAAGCATGTGTATAGTGTTATCCACGTAATCATTGACTTTCGCAGTTAGACCTAAGTTCCACGAAGGGCTGGAAAAATAAGAGCTATTAAGAAATTTTTTATGTACGCTTCTCTGCTTACTAACATGTAGTGCCTGGTTCCTGGGGCATGGAAAACAAAACTGTGCCTATTAAACAGCGTTATGCAAAACCCTCTAAAGCAAACTTTGTGGCGTAACGCGTTACGCTGTAACTGTAACTACGGCGTTTAAAGCCCACCCAGTCTTTTTGAGTGCAACTCTCTTACCATTTAAGTAACTTAAAGTACCTTAAGATCATTCAAGTTCAAGCAAACTTTGTGGAATACAAAGTTTGCTTCTACATCTTCGTCGACATTGAAGGAAAGTTAGTTGTTTTTGCGTGACGACTTTTGTTGCACCAGTAATTTATTATACGTATATTGCGATAGTGAGCCATCGTGGTCGTAAGGAATTAGTATATAACCACAGTCAATTGATTTTGATGCTTTTGAAGAGTTTATACACTATACACTATAATTCCCTTTTTGTTATTCAAATTGAATAAAGTTGACGAGGTCAAACTAACAAGTAACAAAGACGTAGCTATCGTAAGGAAAGGTAAAACAGTGCACCAGGGTCCTTGAGCTTAGGGTCCCTCTAACCTCATTTTTGAAAATAGATAACCGTAAGACTTTTTTTATCGCCTATCTCTCTTTAAAGATGAGGTTTTCTTGTTCCTATGTATAATTGTAGACGCTTAGACAAGTTCAAGCTACGCGAAAACAGGGCATGAGGACCTAAGTCTTTATTTGTGTACTGGGGCTTTTGACTTAGACTACAGTAGAAACCTGTAAATATAATTCCCGGACGAATCAGTTATTCATTCCAGGATTAAATAACGCTAAACTCAATAGGCGATGCCTTAACCCATTATGTCACGAAAATGGTCAATTTTTTTTATGTTTTATGCAAACATAGATAAAAGAGGATTTTACGTTTTTACTTACACAACGCTTTGGAGTTCTTCAGCGTCATTGTTAGCTGGGTTCCATGTGTCACTACAAAAAATTTAATATTTACTTATAACATTTATTTCAGAATTAATTTATGTGAAATTCAACTGTTAACTCAATACTCACACTGGAATTTCGTCACTGACGTATTCGTTAGCAGCTTGGTCGAATTTCCAATTTGTACTTAAAAGAAAAAATAGATATTAATGCACGGTGTCTCCAGTTAATAACAAAAAGAAAAGGTTATTAGTATATTATATAACATAATAATAATTATTATAATTACGATTATATTGACAAAATCTATTCGCTATTATTATTTTGTTGTTGTGACGTGTCATCGCTTGTACGCGCGACTATCGTGACCAAGTTTAAAGCCTAAGTTTTTTTTTTGCAAATACGTCAGTTGCACTGCCTTTAGAATATTGACCCCTCTTTGAACACTATTGTCAAATGAAATCCCGTTTCCCCTAAGGGGCATGGGGTGAACTAATTTATGTGTCCGTTTTGGTGATCTTTTACAAGCAAGTAGTTAAATACTGTCTATAGTTTACGCGAGTAGTACACATTTAAATAAAACACTTTAACGGTTTAAAACGCGATATATTAGTAAAACTTATTTGAAAATGATTTTTAACTTCGGCCCGACGTTTCGGATGCTTTGCAGCAGCCGTGGTCACGGGTCTGCTCCCCGTGACCACGGCTGCTGCAAAGCATCCGAAACGTCGGGCCGAAGTTAAAAATAATTTTCAAATAAGTTTAACTAATATATCGCGTTTTAAACCGTTAAAGTGTTTTATTTAAAAGCTAGTTGTTGTTTAGACTGCTCTGTGCTGCCCGACCGAAACTATTGTTTCCCCACGATTTGAACGCAGAACATCTGTCGCTTAATAAATCTACAGAGGCTATTGTAAGTATTGTGAGACTCATCGATTATTAATACTTCGTCTACCATTATTAATTTTAAGAATATAACTAACTAACTAACATACATTGGATCTGTGAAAATCTGAATTAAAATGTTATTATTATTAATTGTGTTTAAGGTTATATATTAGTCATACATTCCACAGATACATTTAACGCTTGAAAATTATTACTACTTTATAAAGTTTACCACGACAATAACTATTTCGTTTATGACAGAGGGGGACAGAGAAGCATGCGGGTGAAACATACGGGTTTTTTCATCTGTGGACAGTTTCTCGTGATTGGGGCGGAAAATTTAATATTCCCACTACCTATTTAATGTCCAGATTTACAGGCGAAGTTCAACATTGTTCAGAAAAAATATAAATTGATTAGAAACATATTTGACCTAGTGGGAATCGAACCCGCGACCCGCCGACTATTAGATCGAAATTAGGAAATAGTTTGAATGTAAAATAATTACTTACGCGGATACTTCGTTCACGTTTCCATTATCTTCTACCCGGTCCAATTTCCACGTTGGTCTAAAAATAGAGCTAATATTATTCTAGACCAAATTATAGATGCATAAAAAACCATTTCAAACGAGTTAAAACGCGATCTGAAACGTTCGTGTACATATCGAGTTGTAGTTAAATTCACTACATGGAAAATCGAGTTCCGTTAAAATAGGTCTATATATGAGGCTGCTAAAGGCAGAGTAGCCTAACAGCACATTTACGACTTGACTTTTTAATGTTTTTATAATCTAAAAATGTTAATCTACAAGAGCACAGTGTAAGTAAATTGTTGACATAATTCTTAGACAAATAATAGTACAAATTCATTTTCGCGTTAATAGCGCATTTTCGTTATCGTCCTTATGGAAAATTTTATTAGGCCACTCTGCCTCTAGCAGCGTCATATAGCCTTGCGAGTTATAGGCACAGGTTCTAGTTAAATAAATAATACTTACTTGGATTTAAACTTAATAATATTGGCTTCAGCTGTTATAAGCAAAACTGCTAGACTGAAAGCTAATGCCTTCAAACCGTTCATGTTTACAACTCGAAGGCTAATTTGAATATTAATAGAAAGAATAAAAAATTCAATAATATTAATATTATCACACAACTACACAAAGGGCCGACGACAATTGTTTGATAAGCATCTTAATTATTTATTTGGCTCGAAAATAATCTTCAAGTAATTAAACCATTTACTAAATCTAACACAAATCTGATGAAATATATCGTTATCAATTTAGTCCCTTTAATCAATCGATAAGTAATAAGTAGGCATCAGATAACATTTTACAATAGATATTTAATTTAAATAAAACACTTTAACGGCTTAAAACGCGATATATTAGTTAAACTTATTTGAAAATCATTTTCAACTTCGACCCGACGTCTCCCCGTGACCACGGCTGCTGCAAAGAAGCCGAAACGTCGGGTCGAAGTTAAAAATCATTTTAATAAGTTTAACTAATATATCGCGTTTTTAACCGTTAAACTGTTTTATTTAAATGTGTACTACTCGCGTAAACTATAGACAGTATTTAATAGATATTTATATATTAAAATTACTTTTTCACAAAACTGAAATACGTAATAATTTAAAAGGAATATTAATAACTTTTTTGTTTGAATTTATTTGCAAATTCCTTTGAGTTCTTAATAAAAAGAACCACAAATTTATAATACCTCTTTTTTTAGTAACAGTTCATACGCACGAACGTAAAGTTTAATATTTTACAATCAGAAATAGTATAATTCATGCAAGTTTTTAAATAATCCGTATTAAAAGGAGTAAAAACTTCAAATTGTTATATTATTATCTATTAAGGTTGTCAATAGATTATAGAGCTTACCGTATGTTACAAGTAGATTATATTTTTAGGGGATCGTTGGTAGAACATGCAGCAATATCTCGTTCAGACGACGGCTCGAGTATTTCACCTGTCATCGAGTGAACTCCAAGCTAGTGTCCTCCTCTATATCAAAAAAATATAAATATGTATGGCTATAACTATATAGTCTGTAAGTTGTTTCGGAACCAAATCGACGATCCTTATTTGAGGGAAGTTTTTTGTCGACTGTTTGTCCCGGAGAACTATGGCCGCGCTAGGAGACACGGTTTGTTTCACGTCCTAAAAGGTCGCACCTCCGCTCAATTTTGACCTCACTCAACGCTCTGCTCATGTTAAGACCCAAATGTGACCTCTTCGCAGATGATTGGTCATTAATACTAAAAGAATTGTCTGCATTTGAAATTATCTCCTAATGTAATTTGTAATAACCTATTTTTAATTGGTATTGTTTAAATATGTGTCTCCAATTAATGTCTATTGCCGTTTTAATTGCTGTAAATAAATAAATAAATGGCTAATAACAAATAAAACCCAATATCGGGTATGTCGTCATCGCTATGTTAGCATATTTATTATTTATTAGTGATTTTTTTAAACGTAGATAAATTCCAATCGAACTTATCTGTAATAACGATTATTACTACAAGCAATGCAAATAAAACAAAGTGAATATAACACAAAATATTTTACTTAAAACCATAGCCCATCGGAGTAACATAACACTCGTAACATAATTATTAAACAAACTTAGTATCTGCAATTTAAAGAAGAATAAATAACTTAAACATAAGCTAAGCCATATGCCGAATGTCACATTCTCCCAACAAAAATTTATTAGTTGTTATTGGTATGTACCATAATAAATTATGGTAAAAATAAATGCCGTATCCGACACGATACTACGTCGCTTTGAGGCCTAGTTGTATATATTTTTAAAATCTAAAATAAATATTAATATATATAAGGACTTAAATTTTTTTTTAAGTGGTGGGACGATATTTTACGCCTCATTGAATGGGATACTAACGAAAAATCAACCAAATACGCCTCGGCCTCACGCACGCTGGTTTCCGTAGCTCGATGGATAAAACTACTAGAATTATATATGTTTTATGAGGACCGCCATATATAATTAACTTAGACAAACGCGTTTTATAAACCCCGTTACAGACGAACCGTCTTAGTTCTTGGGTTCCGTTTTATCTCTTGGGAAACCTAAAGTAGCTAATAATCTTGGAACATCAAAATGAAACGTTTTTAGTTGCATTTTTATAAATGCAACTAAAAATGTTATTGTATATGATTAAGGCAGTGTATATTTTTATAACTTTATGTGCCTAGTTGGTTACATAACCCTCACGTCTCTAGTCAAGGACAAGTCAGTTTTAACACAACGCCATTAAAACGTAAATATCAATAAGAATAAATAGTTAAAGCGATCCAATTACGACATTCTATTATTTAACAAATGACACTTTTAATAGCTTCAGACCTACGTCGAAAAAATAACAATGCTAGATTTTTATTGTCTTATTATTATTACAACACCACATCGAAACAAATAAAGGAGTGTTAATTGCCCTGTGGGGCATGGGGCTACCAGAAAAAATTATAAATTTCACAAGTTTGAAAACACGAAAAATTATCAAGTTTTGGAAAGCAACCTTCAAATATTAATAACCTTTAGTGAAGTACAGAAGCGAAGAATGACTTCTATAGACTTAACATGATGTAGTCTCGATTTTATTCAGTTCACAATAAAAAGGTCAAACAACTAAGCAATGTTATTGAAAAATAAACATTATTGCTATCAACAGATAATCTAAAATCCCACAGACCCACTTATCAATATGATAAGCTTGGTTAAATGCATAGGTATGTGTTTTCATCCACAAATTACGTCACACGTTTAAGTTTGTTGAACGGTGACAATTCTGTCCCTAAAACCGTGACGTCACAGGAAAGATGCCGCAAAATGAAATTTACGTGTAAAATTATTTCCAAAGACAAAAATTCATTTGAAGTAAATTGTTTCAAACATAATAAATAAAGCAAAGGTCGTTTGATTTTTAACATACCATATATATATAGTATGTATATATATGTGTGTGTGTATAGATGGCAAAGAAAATGACAACAGTTCAAAGTTTAAATGACATCATAAATTCTAGTCTCTGTATCGATATTATGATGTTTATTGTTAATTTGAAAATAAGGTGGAACCTAAACTGCTCGACCGATAAATAAAATAATTCTGTCTGAACCCTGAACCTTTAGATTATATAGATTGGATGACCTCTATAAGAAAATTTCATAATGCGCCAATATGTATGCCACATGTATAGATATAGTATATAGATTTGTGAAAGTAAACCCAGTCCCCAAAAATCCACGGCAAGTGACCATAATTAGCATCAAGATCGCTAAATTACCGATTTTTTATACCGGTTATCAGCATAAAGAAATGTTCTTCGCAACAGCAATGTTACAACGATTTTATTTCGATTTCTTGGCCTCAACGGCTAGCATTTTCGTCCTTTGTTTCAACATGTGACCGAATAGAACCGGGAACAGTGGTATGTATAACAGCATGTAGAACACGAGGAAGTAGTAGTAGTTGAAAATGAAGTTCCACGTATTAGGCATGGACATAGTGAAGAGTTGCTTCTCAGCGACTTCGTCCAGGGTGTGGTATAGGCACAGCAGCTCACCGGTTATTCCTATTGGGTAGAGCAATAAGAATGTTGAGTACCTGGAAGAGGGTTTACATTATTAACGTTTTGAATAGCTTTTTGAGTTTTCAACCTGTTCGACCGTCGTAATTGAGATTTCTTTTTAATAACAACACGCAACCACTTGCAATAAATTAGAGAACTCAAATAGGTCCGGCAAGTACCCAGAAATGCTAATGGTATTTCACTGCTGGACAGAGCTCAGATCTACCACACTGGACCAGTATAGGATGGCAAACTTTAACTATCACACGTAGTTGGTAATGATAACTGGAATGGACGAAGTGTCCTTTGAAGAATTTAAAATAATGAAATAACATTTAGTCTGACCTGGGATTTGAACCAGAGACCATGTCATCTACCGCTTAGTACTCTAGCTCTAACTACACATAACTCTAGAGTACACAGAAACAGTAAAGAATAAATAGTTATAAATTGGCTTGTATTTCTAATGCTAGCCAGGAGAAAGAATTCTCTTACCGAAGGAATAGCAGAGATTGAGGCACAACTTTGATGATGTTTAGAGCATAGTATGCATAACGTATAATTTCAGTGATACTCCAAGCAAAAATACATAATGGTAATCCAGGGCTCACTGTCGGTCCATGGGCTATTAGCAATGAGCCACAGACAAGGAAGACTCGAGAGAACACCTGCATTAATACTAGGAAAACACTAGATGGAACTAGGCCTACAGCAGCGTGAAGGATCTACAAACAATTATTATGGTTACAAAATTATACAACTTGAATATAACAAAATGGATACTTAAATTCCTATTACCTCTAACACTGCTGCATTTTGAAAAATATAGACCGACCATTTTATTTCATCCCAAACGGTATCTAGCGTTCCACGATTCAAAAAGTGAATTATTGTCTGGCATAATAAGTAGGACCACCTAAAACAAAAACAAATGTCATTCATGTGTGTTTATTTAAATGTATTAAAATAAAAATTAGTAGCACAACATTTAACTTTTCAATCTATATATTATATAGACAAAAGGCAAAACTGGTTTTAAAATTGATGACATCATAAAATGTCATAAATTAATTCCCTTTTTATTAACTTAAATTTTAACATTACAGTATAATAGTAGTAGTAATACTATACATTGTTATTTAAAGTAATATTTAACTTAAGATTTACAGAATTTCATAACAACAGTGAGACAGAATGGTAAATATTTCTGTTTTGTCTTATTTATTTTATAATAAAAATTATTGTTAATAAAATTATCTATCTAAATCATTTTTTAATACTAAAAGTTGATTTTGTGCAGATGTGAAGATGGACCTTCTCTACCTCTAATAATAACTATTACTAGTTATTTGTAGAGATAGAGAAGGGCAAGTTATTAAATATCTATTTTAGAAGTAGACCTAACATAAATAGCGCCCTATTTATTTTATTTTCATTTTTTTAACTAATTAATAATTCATATCTAATGTTATAAGAATAAGTTTCCATGGAAAATTTAAATAAAATCAAGTAGATTAAATGGAATTGGTTTGATATAATAGTCATGATATTTCTTATCATATAATATATCAACAACACAAAATCATATACAAGACAAGCATTTGTGTAAAATGGGTGAATATTAAAAAGATTTTATCACAAACATAGAATTACCAACCATTAAAAAACATTGATTAAAAAATATAAATTATGAGTAAAAAAGAACGAGTTTGGACTAAACTAACCTTGGAATAAATTACCCATACCTATATTGGAAATACAAAATCTTTTTTTGCTGTTTTTAAGACTTGATTTATAAAATCATTAATTATTCGTTTCCGAGTTTATAAGATTTAAAAACAGGTTTCTATTGTTATTGAATTTACCCAGCAACTCTTCTAATTATAAATAATATTAAAATACATTAAGTTTATTTTAAAATGTGTATAAAAAGATTATTAAAAATAATGCATTTTAATAGATCAAACAAAATTAAAAGATAACTAAATATAAAATACACACCCTATAGTTTGAATTCCATTATATGCAAAGAGATACGTTTTTCCTAGACCAGAAACTTCAGAATTCTTCGGCTTTCCACTTTTCGCAGACATTTCTAAGTATTTATATATATTATTTAAAATTAAACGTTAATATTTCTGCGGTTTTCCTGCTGCCGAGTAAACCAGTCAACTTAACAGTTTACACGTTAACAAGTTTCTGTTTACCACTTCTACTCAAAAACGAGTCACGTCATCAGTGACAAGCAAATTTTAATACGTTCAACATTATTCTAATTAATGCATACTAGCATCACATAATCGTGCTGTAAAGTAGTTTTATTTTAAACTTTGATCTTTTATTACTACAGTCGTAATTAGCTACACATAAGCTACACATATTAAATAATGTAATACATTTGAACGAGGTTATGCAAATAAACACCAAGCATTATAACAATTACAGATATTATAAGTTGCAATTTAATTATCTTTACAACCGAGCATGAAAAAATAATTAGGCTTTTATTTAGAGTAATCTTATCAATAAACAACTATCTTAATTTCTCTATTATTTCTTGATGTGTAAATCATGGTTTATTAAACATTATAGTTTAGGAAATTGTAAGGTTATTACATATCAAATTCAATGAGAATCTTATAAAATTTTAGATCTCACTTTTTAAAAGATTTAGGGCCTAGACTATACATATTTACATTAATAGACAGAGAGAGAGATAGCTTTTTTCGTATGAGTTTACATATATAATCTCACTACATTTAATTGAGCAAAGACGAAATTACACGATACAAACTTTGTGAAAAGACAAAGTTATAAGGAGTTGGATAATTTATAAAATTGCTGAAGAAACCTAAAGGCCGTAAGTCAAGAAGTGCTATATTTTACTTTTCTTGGAGAAAACTCGTGTTATTATTATAATGATTCACATGACTTACTTGCCTTAAAGAAATAATTGAAATGTAAAATTATTAATTAAAAAATTATTTTTGCGACAAGTTATTGTCTATTTTTCATCTGACAATTGACACACTTATTGCTAGAGTTCTTGCCTGATGTTTCATCCATTTGACAACTGATTCTCTTTTACTCGCGTTGTTGAACGGGGTAAGTCGGAAATTGATTATTACTAAAATCGGCGTTGTTACTAATTCATTGAATTATACCAGTCTTTATTAAAATACTACTTCTTTTCACAGTGACAAACGTAGACCAAAAGCTGCCGAAATGGTCGCCGCTAAGAAACAGGTTAGTGATTATATTGAACACGTGTTTTGTTCGGCTGGACTTCTGGCATGATTATTTATACATTTTAGTAAATAATCTCCTAAATAGTTGGTCCTATAATAAATGCTACTCGATAGGCTCGCTAATTCCGTAATTTGAGAGGTTGAGTTTGTAGCAAACATTTTAGGTTATCCCAGCTCATACAGGTCTTGTTAGTGCGTCCATCTTGTATTAATACATTATTTTAATTTACAGAAAAAGACCATCGAGTCTATAAATTCAAGATTGGCCTTGGTTATGAAATCTGGTAAATACTGCTTGGGCTACAAACAAACATTGAAGACTCTTCGACAAGGAAAAGCAAAACTGGTCATCATTGCCAAAAACGCTCCTCCACTAAGGTGAGACTACTGAGAAGTAGAGTTCCCTAATTTGTTTACCTAAGGGAAGCATATGGAGTCTTCGGACTAAGAAGTATGGTTTCTCATTAAAGTCATTTAATTTTGGGAACCCTATGGAGTAGTCTGATATCCATATGCTTTGCTTGAAAGGTGAGACTTATAAAACTTGATTTCTGTATCAACACATATAGAAGTTGTCCCAATAATGAAAATGTATTCATATAGTATTTGGCACTTATAACATTGTTTCGTTGGACTCGTTGGTCTAATGGTAGCAATGTATGGCTAAAAATCAACAGGTCGTGAGTTCGATCTCCACCTGATCAAAAAATTAGAAACATGTTGGGCTTTGTCTGAATATCTGATAATTTAATGGGACACCGCCCATAGATGGAATAGCAGTGAAGCTTAATTACATTTCGGTTTCTGTGTGTTGATTTCCAAATATCCAAAGTAGGTCGACAGTTGTGTTAGAGCTGTGTAGATGACATGCCTGGGCCATTTCACCTCGCACTGAGTGAACCCTGTGCTTGTCTGCCCGTCTATCACTAAAATAATAATTTAAAATTTATTGTTGCAGAAAGTCTGAAATTGAGTACTATGCTTTATTAGCAAAGACTGGAGTACACCACTACAGCGGCAACAACATAGAGTTAGGTACAGCTTGTGGAAAGTACTACCGAGTATGTACTTTAGCAATCACTGATCCAGGTGATTCGGACATTATTACGACACTACCTGAAGCTACTGTTTAATAAATAATTTTACAAGAATTAACCTTTTATTTCTTACCAAAAATTGATTCTACAATACTGCAACATTAGGGTTTGAGTATTAACTAAATTATTTACTGTTTCTTCTCAAAGATCAAACATTCATAAATAAAACAAGGAGCAAAGCGATAGTCGCGAAGAACTACTTTTCTTTTGTTCTATGAGAAAATAGTTCACGCTATCCAAAGAGTATGTTTTAAGGAATTACTCTAATGTATCGTTTCAAGAACGTTTTTATGAAGGAATTGCCAGATCAGCTAGTCGTAGTAGTAATCATAATTTGTAAACCTCTAATACCCAGTAGCTGTTACCTACGACGTCGTTCTTGCAATCTTATAAGATAGACAGTGCCTAGTGCCTCGGACATTTTTAAGATAATTTAAAGAGGATTCTTCGCAGCATGATGGTTTTATAGCTTAAAGCAATAAAGCTTTCCTAAATATGAACATTTATTTATATTTAGGAAGGCTTTACCAATACAAACGATTTTTCAATTAGAACGAGTTTCTGAGAATAGCACGTTCAAACACTCTTCATATTTATATTAGTATAGTTCAGAGTTATGAGAACTCACTAAGACCCTTGGCGGAAATATCGGCGATTTATCAAGTCATATGGATGCAAAAGTACGTTCACTAAATGTAACGTGCTTGATCTGTTTTGTTAAATTGTTTCTTTAAGAAATAAATAAAAATACAATTTTTAATGCCTAGAACAAGCTAACGACTGTAATAATACGAATTTGTGCTAAGACGTAAGTTTCAACTTTTTTAAATTCTACCTTCTTTAAGCCACCTATAACGTACAACCCATTTTACTTCATTCATAAACATTCGGGAAGTAAATAAAAAGAAATGTTTTATTATTTTTTTATTACCACTCTTGTGACAAATTAAAAAAATGTCAATGCCTGGTCGAAATTGGTCTGCTATCTCACGTCCTTCCTGCAAATATATTTTTTTTGTAAATTTGCGTTATAACAGTTGTGATGAAAGTGATAACATTACAACAAAGAAATTTGAAGGCACACATTTTGTTTGTTGATTATATTGTAGTAGTTCTCACATTACTAGAATAACTATAGCCAATTTATGTTACATAAAATTTGACTTTTAGGGGGCATAGTGGGATAACGTCAAATATATTGTGTAACCAACCCATTAATTACATAACAATAATTAAGGTTCCAACACACAGGTTTCGAGCCACAAGTGTGTGAAATTATAATAAATAAACCTATGACAAAATTGTGACTATGTGGCAAGGTCTTATTTATAACTTAGAGACAAATTCACACTTACATAATAAGCATTTTCTCTTTGCTTTAAACCACGATGCTTGCATGTCCATTAAAAATTCTTGGAGAATTTTCTCAGTTTCAGTTATCCAAATTCTGAAAAATCATTAAAGAATTTAATATAATACAATAAACATTTTCCTACAAACTTAAACAATATTGCCAAATTGTATTTGCTTTTGTAGCTAACTAACAAAATAACTAAGCTGGATCGCAGGACCTAAGCTAGTCATAATAGTTTCATAGCATCTTTCTTATTATCTGTGATTGTCTAATTATTTTCTATATCATGCTGCTCTTCCTATTGTATATATTTCCTCGCATTTTGGCGTTATACACATTCTTTATGAATGATTATTATTAAAAACTTATTTGCTTTTTTGTATATATTGCATACAGCAGTTGTATTGAATAGGTCTTCTATGACATAATCGAAACCTAATTCTTCTATTTCTCTTCTTAATCTATAATTACTGCTAGCGGAATTTATTCTTTGATATATGTATTTCTATATTACTATAGTGACCATATTTAAAATCCTTCTTACTTATAACATACAATACGTTATGATGTATTTTACCTTAAAATATAATACTAAGAATTAAATAATTACTTATTTTATTAAAAAAATTATAAGTTGTTACCTGTTTTAAAAATTATTATAGGTAACCTCCCAAGCGCGTAGCATAGCTACATAAACATTTCATTGTTCTGTTGCTGCTCATCTATAATATCTTATTATATTTGATAGCTAATCTAAAATAATGGCCATTAAATCATTAATGAGTTCTTCTGTGAAATCACAATTTTAATTAATTGTCTCTGAAATCAAAGTAATTATAGGATTTGCTTCAGCCCTTTTCTCATTACTAACACTCGTTTAAACTAACTTGGCTACTTCTTTCTTACATTTAATTGGAATTTCTTGAAAAATGTCAAAAATCATTAAAATGTTTCGAGTTCAAATGGGCTTCAAAAGCTTTTTTATAGTTTATTCGCAGTTGCCACTTGAATTACGTTTATTCTAGAAATAATACTATGATTCTCAATTAATGGCCAGATAAAATAAGTGCACACAAAAATATTTCACAGCTTTCTTTATTACATAATCGTTACTTAATGATAACAGATGGTCCTCACCATTACAAAGGTTACTATGACAATGCGCGTAGGCATGTCGTCTTATGTCAATGGAATACATTATTCTCATATTAAGAAATAATTTAAATTTCATATTGGTAGCAAAGTTTTATATATCCTCGATAAATTTCAGATGCTTTCTTTTATATTTTCCAATATGTAGTTAAAAATTGATCCAGCTAGATAGAGTTGCTATAAGTTTCTATATAAACCAATCACCAACTGCCTGTAATGCAAACAATTTACTTATAGACCTGAATTTTCATGTATTTTGCTCACCTCGTTACTCAACTTCTTTTCAAAAACCATCAGAATGGAATCTTTTATTTACTGCTCATTTTAAAATTCACTGTTTCATATAGTTCGATAAAATATGTAACTTTCCAAAGAAATAACAGTAACTATATGAACTTTTTTCAAAATTTAAGTGATTGGCGTAAAAATTAATTCTTATCCTGTCAACTACTGTCAAATTGCATTTCTATATAATTGTATATTAAATTTTTTATTTATACCATTATTTCTATAAAGTATATCTGTATTATTTCAGTTTGTTTTGTTTTAACAAAAACAAATATATACTATGTTTGCTATAATGCCTTCTTGTAAATAATATTCAAGTACTATTTTTGATTCGTAAGCATTTCTCTAGCTAAACTCCTTTAAAAATATAGTGCTGAAGAACTTATTGTACTGTTAATTTTTAATTAACATTTGATAGCATAAAAAAGAATGAGACTAGACGTAATCACAAGCTTTAAAATACTTGACACACAAAAAATATACTCTATAATACGTATCAACCAAAACTATTAACCACTTACTATTTCTACTGAAGTTTAAATTATGCACTCGTTTATTAGAGGCGCCTATCTTAACTTGTATTATATTGTTCTTTGTTAGTCTTTAAATATAATTAATATTAATATTACATAATATGTATTAATTCCAGGAATGTTGTTTATTTTTTCTGTATTATTCTTTATGTAGTGAAAAGCTTTTAATTACTTAAATATTGTATTGTTTAAAACCTTCCTTAAGAATTATTCATTAATTAATCTATGCTTCACTTAAAACATCACCAAAATGATTTATCTATGAAAATTTTTCTAATACCTTAAGAGACAATTAAAGTTACTTTGGCCATACATAATTGTATGATTTTTTTTTCAAACTGTAGTAGCTTAAATACTATTTGCCGCTTCTTTGTTTAGTTTTCGTATCTTAATGCCACATATATTTTTCTACGTAAAATTTAAGATCATTAAAAACATATCAAATTTTATTTATTTTGGTAATAACAACTCTCTCTACTATCGAGGGCGCTATTCTGTTAAGTGAAAGAAGAGCTTCCCTAACAAGACACAGTATATATCGATCCAGTAGGATGGATGTAATTCTCAGTACTTACCATAGCTGTTGGCGTTATACTGTGCAGGAGCTTGTTGGTATTGGTTGTAAGATGGTTGTCCATATGAGTCGTAAGAGGGAGCAGCACCGTATGCAGGCTCGCTGGCACCGTAGCCAGCGTCACCAGCGCCGCCAGAGCCACTATAAATTAGTCATAAGATTTTACATAATTCCCCAGTCCATAGTCCAAAGGTTGCAGTGATAACAAAAAAAAGCGACACAAGTTTTTATTTGGACAAGCAAGCACATTCCATGTGAATAAAAAAATTCAAACAAGTTACTTTACAGCAGTACAACTAAGTACTTGAAGCATTATAGTCCATTGATTGTGGTTTTTAATAATTGGCCAGCTATTTAATTTATTTAAGTAAATACTTATGTCTACCAATGCACCCCCATAATCGTTTATATTTTGTCACCATATGAGAGAAGGCAAGAGTACAACAAAATCACCCTTGCTTTGTCAGGTCAGTTAAGCAATCTTACCTATATGTATCATTTTCATAACCTCCTTGTGAAGTAGAGTAACCATAGTTAGAACCATAGCTTCCACTATTGTAACCGGAGTTAGCTGGTGCCGGAGCAGGTGATGAGTAACTGCCGGCCTGGTACGAACTATAAAACCAAAAAACTTTAAGACTGAGCCTTATACGGAGACTTATTTCAAATATAACTAGGTTCTCAGTTCTGTTTTTGTCTGCAGCTATATATCAGACGGCAATTCCTATCAAACAGTCTCATCATATGTTAATACGTTTATCTGAGTTTTTATGACACTATTTATTGTTTATTAAAGAAAGTAAGTATTATTTTCTTTTAGGGACTCCAAAAAAGGCCAGTCCACATCATTTGTTGACCATTCCATCCAAAGAATGATGTACAATTTTAAAATTATAGCAAAATAGTGATTGTAACCAAAGTAGTTTCTTGTTTTACCTTGAACTGTTATATGATGGTGCGACATAAGGATCTGCAGCTGGCTGCTCATATGGTTGATATCCTGTGTGTCTGTAAGAATGATTACGAATCAGACAGGGAAGCACAAACAAGACAAAAATAAATACAAAAGAATATCAATCAGTAAAAATTTAACGTCATATATGTATCAGACGGCACATTCCTATCATGAAAATGGATCATCATTTTATTGCGATTTAGTAATTTTATGTTTGAAATATTATATGCAGGATATATAACTCACGATGGGCCATATCCATTGGGTTGTGGTGCTGGGTTGTGTTGTGGGGGTGCTTGATATCCTCCAGCAGCTGGAGGCCTGCCGCCACCGCGTGGACCATCAAACCTAAATAATGGTTATTATAACTTTGAGTGTGTTATGAAAGTATTTAATTCCAAACACTAAAACATTGTTAGACTAGCAAAAAGATAGATGTAATTTAACGCAAATATAATCACTTAACAAGCAGACTGTTATAGATTTATAGGTAACTCATGAGATATATACCTTCCACGTTTCGGAGCACCAGGGCCACCATGTTGTGGCGGTCCACCGCCACGTTTGTATGGAACTTGTACTGGACCTCCTTGAGGCAAATTAAGGTCATGTTCATCTCCATGCATTGGAGGACCCATATGCATTCCACTGGGCATGCCACCTGGAGGTCCATGGCCTCTTCCTCCTCTACCTATTAATGATATAAAATATTATAGCTAAAGACATTGAAGTATTAAGAGTATAAAAGTTGGCTTAATTGTAAATGTATAAGGTGATTTAGTGAAAAATTACTTTTCCACCTTTACTATTCTTTGACTGTAAAAACATACCTCTCATAGGTGGCCCTCCCCTAACAGGACCTCTGTCTCCTCTCGGCACAAAGTCACCCCTTCCTCTACCACTGCGACCTCTCATTCCTCCAGGACCTCCCCTATTTCCAAACCCATCTCCTAGAATAAATGTTTTATTAGTTTAAGGCAACATATTTAAAACGAGGGTGAATATATAACATAGTATAGATTCTCAGAGAAAGCTTTACTTCAAACTGTGCAAGAGTTTATCTAATTCCTAATAATATCAGTTAATCTTAATTAAAAAGTACATACTTTGTGGAGGACCTCTGCTCTCAATAGTAGGTACAGGGTGAGGGCCTGGTCCTTGTGGCCCGGGGGGGAAGCGTCCGCCACGATCACCACCACCTCCGCGCATAGGACCACCGCGAAATCCTCCGCGCGGACCCCCTCGCATTGGTGGTCCTCCTCTAGGAAAGCCACCTCTACCTCGCATTCCTGGACCACCTCTATAGAAGACAAAAGTAACTTTTAGGTTATACGAAGAGAATAAAAAATATGAATACGCCTTTAGGACAGGCTCATAATGCATAATGCAAGCTTAAAAACACATACCGGCCTCTCATATCGAAACCACCTCGACCGCGCGGTCCGCCGGGAGGACCACCGCGTCCACCGCGAAAACCTCGGTTTGGCATATCCATTTTTGGTTTCGCTGCTTTCTTTTGTTTTAAAACATTAATACCTTATGTTATAGTACGATTAATAAATATATTTTTCTAATCTATTACTTAACTATTAAGACCTATGCACATTGCCCCTACTCGCGACTCAAAATGGCGCGGGTAGAGACGCTCATGTTCGCGGTGTCACAGCATTATCACGCAATCGGCAATACGCATTATCGTCCCATTTAGCACAGATTATTGTACGCTACAGATAGCTTATGCAGTTTGTACTTCTGCTGGCCACAGATTATAGAAAGTAACTTAATTGATAGATGGCCATATGCCAAATGTGTCATTCCATAATCCATTCCACCCTGTTTATGTGAAATTCAAGCTTGATGATTGATATTATTTTATAATTTTGTTTTAGTATTAAATGTTTTTTATAAGACTAATTGTAATTTTATGTTTGAATTATATGGCATAACTAATAAATAGATCTATGAAATGGATGATCAAGCGAAAATTTTAAAGTTTCTAGTCTCAGCTGAAAAGTTAGCAGATGAAATTCTTAGTGACAAACGAGAAATAGTTCTATTAGATAAAAGAAGAAATCAAAATCGAGAAGCTCTGAGGGATCTCACTAAAGCCCAACAAAAGAAATGTTGGGTAACTGTTGGTTCTGTTTTAGTGAAACATAATTTTGAATCAACAAAAGCCCTATTGGAGGCAGATCAAAAGCAACTTAACATGGACATTAACACTTTACGTAGTAATTTAAAAGTGAAAATTAACTCTCTTAGAGACTTAGAAATGCAAGCTCCAACACCTGGATTGACACTTGTACCATTGTCAAATAAAGAAACCGAAGCTTTATCAAAAAGTGGTATTTTATAAATTTAGGATCCTTGTAATGCATTTTTGAAAAGAATGCCTACAAATTTAATCATGGTTCTATGTTCTTCTAGGTCTATAATATTCTTCCTATTGTTCAAAATGCATATTGTGACTTTGATAACAAAGATATATAATGCTAGTGTTAAGTATTGTATTAAATAGAGTAATTATTTTTTATAAAAAAGCTATATTCTTGTTTCTCATAGTAGTTAATGGGATTACAGCATTATTGTATAAATATTGTAAATAAAAATTCAATTTTCATATTTTGTGTTTTATTTGGCTAAGGTAATTAAAATAAAAAGTCATCAAATATATAATTTCAATATGCACAGTTACATCTTTATACATGTAAAAAATATAGTACATAACAAATAAATAATAAATAGTACCAAATTTTGGATTTATCCATAGTTGAAAGTTATTGCAGTTTAGTGATAATTATCATATACAGTGACTAAGTGCCGATTTTTTAAAGTGTTACCTTAATAAATGAATAATTTACATTCCTACATAGAGGGGATACTTAGCTTTATGTTTCCTCATACATGGCATTGTCATTTGAACAAAATATAAAAAAGTAATAAAACATTATAACCAATTAATATAAAAAAATCACGAAATTGGGTAAATCAACGATATATTATGGCATGATATCTAGTCTGATTTGTTATACATTATCTTTCAGAAATAAACATTTGCAACATAAAATCTAAGCATTATCAACTTACTTATCAATAATTGTCAATATCAAAACATTATACCGTAGGTTATTGCTTAATACTAATATAATATATTTTAGTAGCTTGTATTGAAATTACATAATTCAGTACAAAATGCCACCAAAAAGGTCCTCAAATATATTTTTAATGTTTTGTGGATTGTCTTTTGAGCACATGTTGGAAGTTTTTGTATACGTTGGATCGTGAATCTGTCTATCACTTTGTATAGCGTGATCTTGCTAGATGCGTGTCAAAGAGGGCCTCGCTACATCACAGAATGTCCTGGGCGTGTTTTCGCCTCTGTTTCGCTTTTACTACCAATTTGCCATTCCCGGTTTGTTGAGCGTCATGAAGTATATCTGGCAGGAGGAACCGCCCTTAGCTGATGAAAAGAATACTTTGTCGTTGCGCTCGCACAAAAACTTGAGGCGCTGCGCCTTTTTGTGCATGAACACGCCATCGAGATGGCCGCTCTCCACTGAACGTATTTCGATCGCCTTGTTTCCCCAACCCATTATTTGTCCGGTGCCTATATATGCGACTGAAGTTGGCATCTCACCCCACTGAAACAATCAGATGTTATCATTTATTTAGATCATGCACAATCAACTGACTGTAATTTATGTGAGTAGTACACATTTCAATAAAACAGTTAAAGGTTGAATATGCAAACGTCAGGCCGTAGTTAAAATAAAACAAAAATAAGCTTAACCAACATTACGGGACATATATAGGACTCAAATTGTTACTAACCCTCATTAGATAAGATAAGTTTTAAGAAATGGATCAATAGCTGACAAAATATTAATATCATATATTGCGTTTTAAACCGTCAAAAGTCTTTAAAACTAACTGCATTGTTATTCTTTTTGTTTAAGACAGATTAAGCAAAATTTTAACTGGATTTGATCTAGAAGTTGAACTATGTTATTTAAGCATGTACCCCCTTTTCCCCCCCTAAAATTTCGAAGCATGCAAAACATAACCTCCCAAATAAGAACTACCTATAATAATCGGTTTAAGCAGAACTTATATCATTACATATACATATGAAAAATAAATACTCACTTGCAGTACGATGTTCTTACTAACACGTCCATACGTATTAACGTAAACACCTTCATTGTCGTAACATAACAACAGTTGGCCACCGTTCGAGTTTGGTAATGGGACGATACAGTGAGGAACTATTGCGCCTTGGGTCTGTAAGTAACAATTTAATTGTTTATAGCCCGTTAAATAGGTATAAAATTATAAATAACGTACATCTAAACTTCGGAAACCAATAAATGCAAGGGAGAGGACATTTGCAACGTGATGCATAATATTAATTATTTTTCAATTACTTTATATGTTGAGTTTATGTAAGTTATTTTTGTTTGATAGAGGAGGATAGACATGCATTACTATAATGCCAACACGACAGCCAACATCTCAACAAACTTTGGCTTTGACTGAAACCGGAACAAATTTAACTTCACGCCTTTTTTATCTGTGGACGGTGGTTCGTGATCTGAACGGAATTTCGATATTCCTACCACTTATTTAATATCCAGATTTTTATACGGACTATAATGTGTTTCAGAAAAAATAGAAATTGATTAGAAACACGTTCGACCCGACAGTGTCATAGCTAGATGGACAAGGACCCTGGTAAATAAAGAAACGGGCCATCCCGTCTTTCGGCAACGACTGAACTTACGTAAGTCTCTAAAGTCTAAATTATAGTTACGAATTAGAACAGTTCATTTAAAAAACATATTTCTCTTTGTCTTCACTTCTACGCTTATCCCTTTTCAAAGATAAGATTAGAGGGCTCCCTAAGCTCCTGATGCACAGCAACACCTAGCCTACGATGGCTACGCCAATGGGACCCTGTGGGGATCGGGCCCACGACCCGTCAATTATTAGCCATACGACTATTGCACAAACCGCGGTCTTACAAACAGAAGTACGTTTTAAGTTTTGGGTTGAGAACCCTATGTGCAAATACATAGTAACTTACATGTTTCGGAATATAAATGTCATATACACTAGCAGTGTCGAGATCAACAGCGTGGAACCCGTCAGCAGATCCATATATTACTTTGAGTCTTGTCCCCTCTTCAATCGTTAAGTCCACCAACAGAGGTCTGAAATTAAGAATAAGAAAGTAAGAAAACCTTATTCATTTGCCGTCAAATTTTTATTTACATATTCGAACAGGCTTAAGCTTCATGAAATAATAATGAAGTAAACGAAGTGACGTAAAAAAGACGAGCTAGAATTAATAGAAAGAAATTGTTAGTATCTCATATTATTTACCTGTGTTGTAGGTCCCCAAAGCTCTTGAAGGCCATAAACTTGTGGTAGGGCTTCGGAGCCCATGCGTATATCTCAATGGAGTCTTTGAGGGCGATCACGAGGAACTTGATTCGTTCGTATTTCACTATGCGGAAGTGAACTGCGCCTTGCAGCTCTCCCACGTTTATCCAGCCGTTCCTCCTTTCTACTTGCTGCAAAGGGACAGTTACGTTTTATATATAGATAGCAACGTACAAGAGCTGATTTTATTTAAACAATTCATGTGGCCTTGCAGACCTTTTGCATCTGTTAGACTTTAAATAAGTTTAGTAAATACTGTCTATAGTTTACGCGAGTAGTACACATTTAAATAAAACACTTTAACGGTTTAAGCCGTGGTCTCCCCGTGACCACGGCTGCTGCAAAGCATCCGAAACGTCGGGCCGAAGTTAAAAATCATTTTCAAATAAGTTTAACTAATATATCGCGTTTTAAACCGTTAAAGTGTTTTATTTAAATAAGTTTAGTACTTAATTTTTTTAAGTAACTTTTTGTAAGGGGGAGGCTTTTTGCCATAAATATACAAAAAAAATATTTATTTAAATTTTTTGACTGTCTGTAAGATTTAATTAAAGTTAAATCAATTCCTTATTATATGCATTTACAACACCTAAAAACCGTAATCAGTTTATGTATTTTATCGTGGATTTCAAATGTCAAGACAGACGAATAAAATCGCGGTTTTTAGAATTTGATACACAAATTGAAATTCTTAATGTCACATCCAAACTTGCCTTAGTTTGAATGTGACATTCAGGTATTTTAATTATAAATATATTCGACGGCAAAATCGTTAGAATTCTTAAGTCGATAACTTATTCAACTAAGAACATCACTAGTAATAATTTTCAATTATTTTTTAGTAGTATGAAAAGTTTATTTATCTATGTGGCGCTTGGGTTTGGCCTGGTCAAGCGTAGAACTCCAAAACAAGATAGGTCTTGGGCCTCGTGTCTCCCGTTTGTGGCTTTTAAAACCCCAAGGTCTAAGTAGTTTTTGCCTATGATGCATATTTTAATATTTTGACTTTATGACAGTTTTTTGGATTATAAAAGTTATTATCAAGGAATTGAACTTGTCTCTAAAAGTAAATCTAAACTTACATCGCTAAGCCCGTCAGTGCGCAGTATCTTTGACTTGAGCCAGCTAAGATAGTAGACCCGAACGCGGTTCTTCTTCCCGGACACAGTGACGAGAATGTTCTGTCCCTCCAGCACCTCCATTTGTTGGAAACGGCGTCGCGATATGAGCTGGTACACTTTGCCTTGTCCAGAGCGGTCTAGGAGCATTAGACCGTTTTCCGTGCCGATGAGAAGATTCACCCCTGAGAAAATAATATTCGCATTCGTTTTAACTAGCGAAGAAGCAGCAGCGAAGGTATGATTATGCACAAAAAAAGTGGTTCTGGAATCTTGTTAGTTCTTACATTTTGAGTTTAGTACTCTTTAGCGACGAAAAAGGGCCCAGCCTCATAACAAGTCATGTAGACATTACTGACCTATTTGGACGTTAGACATAAAAATACGTCGCTAAGAATCCTTAAGTCCTAAGAATCATCAATAGTAATACTCAAACGACGAATACGATTTTTAATTTACATATGTACAATAACATGTGAAAAATATTAAAGTTCAAACAAACTGCCCCTCTTTTTACATAAAACTATTTTTCACTATCCTCACCCCACAACGCAGCGCACAATATCTCCGAGTTGAATCTCTTCTTATATTTCCGTATCTCCGGCGTGTCCGAAGAGATATCGTGTCCCGTGGGTGTGACGTTAACGTTGACATGACTCTCTCGGCGAGAAGCGTTCCCAGACCCACCAGTGCCACTTCCCGTCGAACCGGCTCCGAAGCCGAAGGTGAGGAACGACCGCTGCTTCTGTTGCAAAGGAAGGAATTGTTGTTGGGAGCCCACGGAGGAGTTAGAGGGCGAGTGCTGTAGGGGATGGGGCGATGCAGCCCCCGCTACAAAAGACTTGGACGGCGTAGACTGGACGGAGGAGGGGAGGTGGTGGTGATGGGGGGTAGGAGCACCGCCGGCTATCGCTTGCCTATACTGTAAAGAAAGGGAATAATTAATATCTACATAATTGTCATTACAATGTTGTATTGTATTGTTTCTTTTCGACATATCTAAATATGGTTAGTGTCCATCTCCCGTTTTAGTATTCATCACAATTATGATCGGAAAGTTAATAGCTGTAGAATCTTTCGGTTCCGCTATTATAATAATTATACGAAGTGTAGCAGGCAATGGTGGAAATTTGAATAATGGTTATGATAGCGACAATCACATCGCTTCTTGTAAACTTTTTTAAACAATACGGTACGAAACAAATGCTAAAATACTTTTGAGTTTGCCAGTTACAGATTATGATACATAAGCCCTCCCCCATGAAAAATCTACCTGAAAGCCGAACGACTCTTCAATAGTGTGTATGTAAGCGAATCTATGAGAATGCATAAATAGAGAAGAGATGAGGTATGTCAACATTCTAAATATGCTTTGATTGAAGCATGTTCTGTTGCTAGGCGGATCGTACTTACGCGGTTGGTAACGGGCTCCGCGAACCGGCCGTGGTGCCTCCGTGGTGTGTTTGCATGATTGACAACCATTATCATATTAATACTATGTTCTATATAAGCACAGCGCGAGATCAGGGGCCCCAGAGGTTGGGGCCCCGCGTGATGTTAAATACCTCCAAAATATCACAAAGCAACATGTATATAAAATGACGGTGTGTGATTTATATATTGGCAGTTACGTAAATATAAAATCTGATATCTATATAAAATGCCCAGGATGATAAGGGATTGGGGGCTTACCTCTTCGCTGGTGGATTTGTCGTGTCTTGGGGGCGTGGTCGGTTGGCCAGCCTGGCTCAAGAGGTCCGGGAGAACGGAGCTCGTTCGGGAGCCGCTACCTTCGTTTCCACTTGATCGTCCCTATGATATATTGTCACTTATAACTTCTAATAACTCTAATCAAAACGTGTTTTTAATTATTCCAAAAATATTTTTCATATTTTTAACTAACAAAGGATATTGTATAAGTAAACAAACATGGTAAAAATATAAGTATTATCTGAACTTTACGCAAATTGTACGCATTAAAACACTTTGAACGGTTTAAAACGGGAAATACATATAGAAACTAATTTATAACTACGACCGTTTCGAATGCTTTGCTGTAGCTGCTAGCATCGGACACATCACGTCTAGTTACAAATCAATAACAAAAATAATTCGCGTATTTAACCGTTAGAAGTGTTTTATTTAAAGGAACAAAAAAACTTTCTTTTATATATCCTTCTGAGTTGATTTACAAATGTTCAAAACCTTAATAAACGGCGTCAAAGTCGAGCTGTAAATAGTGCATTAATGTTTTAACATTTTGCATTTGCAGCAATAGCGTAACAAACACAAACAGTAGCAAAACATGCAAGGTGATACACATTCACAAAATCGACGTTTCTTTCCAGCTTCTGTGAGATTTCGTTAGGCGATCATTCCCTAGTTATGTTATGTCACGTTTTAATGTCACAAATATCCTATTCACTCAGGGCATGTCGCATTTCTTGGCAGGAAGACGGCGTCGCGCACAGATGATAGAAATTGTTAGTAATTCGAGTGCTTTGTTAAATTAGGTTAATGGAAACTACTTGGCTAGTATCGCTACGTATCGACCAATTACTGTATCGTAATCTACTTAAATACGGATGCTTTAAAGGAAAACTTGTATTAAAAATATCACGCCAAAATACAAGACTTATGAGCAAATACTATATATACCCAACTATCCAGAGAGATAAATTTTACAATCTGTTATTACGACTAGACCGTACAAACATTCCCCACATTAACCTCAACCACCAAATCCGTGGACGTACCCGGTAGGGGGGTTTCGTTAGTCTAATGGTAGTATCCATGGCTTATAAACAATTGGCCGTGGATTCCTTCCCCATCGGTACCTACATGTTTCTAATGAATGAATGTTTGTTGGACTAAAAGAGTCCAAGCTCAAAATAGATCGACAGCACATCTTGTGTAGATGTTTTATGGCAGGGGTATTTCACCTTCCATCAAGTGGACCTTATGCTTGTCTGTCCTATATCATAGAGAAAAGAATCAATTAGAAAAGACGTGACGTAAAAATTTACCCCCCCTTTCAAATCTAGAAGCCGAGTACGCCCACGACCACACCCACTACAAGTGAAAACATAGCACGATATAGCATTACAAGTTACTCTGGTTAGTCATATACAGCTGTTAGATGTACAAAGATTAATACCCTCATACCAAACGTAAGTAAATTAATCAAACCCCGAGCAGCTAGCAAATTACCTGGTCCCGTGCGTTTACCGCTTCCTGCCCACTCGACAAGACCTCTGTGTGCCGATTGAAGTGTCTCCGAAACACAATATCGGACTCAGTCTTTTCTCTACGCGGTCTGACTATATTGCAGTCTGCGTCTTTATTCTCAAGGGTATCGGCCGTCAGATCTAGGGTTCCCTTCTCGTAGCCGAAGCAAATGCTCGTCGCAGGTGAGTCGCTATTGACACTGCTCTGCCTGCTCGTCTTACTGTTCTCACTGTCCTTCCTTATCAATTCGGCGACGTTCTTCAATGCGTCTATTGGATTTTTGGTCTTCCCATCTGAGGCTTTGTCGTTCCTCTTGGTTTTATGCGAGAACTTCAGGCTGTCGTTCATTTTTATAAAATCGGTCAGCACAGGCTCGCCTGAGGACTGGGAGTTGTTCGTTTGCTTTTTGGAGTGATTGAAAATCCCGCTCGATCGCTGTTTGCTTATAACTGGACTATCGTGCTTTGGGAAATAGATCGCCGAGTGTCGTGTGCTCGAAAGGGGGAAGAAGTCGGAATTTTCTCTTCTGAAGCCTCTGAAAAACCTGTTCGGGCCGTTGGTGTCGGCTTCTTGTTCTTTCTTCTTCAGTAGGTCAGAGAGTTTTTCTTGAGTGGACTTTTCGGAAGGCTTCTGGAGTTGTTTGTGGCGGGAGGGTGGTGTGGCTATGGCCTTGTATTTCACCCACGCGTCCTCCATTTCGATCCTCGATTGCCGCTGGAGCTGGGCGCGTTTAAGTTCCGTCTCCTTGGTCGGGTCCTGCTTCTCTTTGGCTTCAGAGTTCTTCGAAGGAAAAAACCTGGCAAAGTCCCAGTCTTTTAGTAAGACCGCTTCGTCGACGTCCGACAGCCTCTTGTTATTTGCAGTGTTCTCCTTCTGTTGTTTTCGCAACATGTTTAGTTAAAAAGCACACATAATTAAATTATCAACATTTGGCTCGCTATGCTATTTTGGCGTGAAAATGTTAAACATGAATGTGCATAACCTCACCGAAATTTACATGGAACAATGCCCTTAGGGAAAATAATTAATTAATGTTTGTTAAGCGCACGTCATACTGTTCTATGAGGTAATACTATGGGGTTTAATAGTTTAAGGGGTGTTCAAATGTTAAAGTCGGTAGAAGATTTTAAATAAGAAAAGTTGTCTTTAAAAGTAAGTTTGTACAGATGTGCCGCGTCCTTTTTGTGAATTAGAAATAAAAATAACAGTTAATCTTTTATCGACTTTTTACTATTTTACACATATACAAATAGAAAAACAAGCAGTATCAATGAAACAATAAAAAATAGTTAATGAAACTTGTACACATTAAAAAAAAACAGTTATTAACGGTTCAAAACTCGAAACATATAAGTTAGTTATTTTTAACTAAGTACTACCCGATTTTTCGGATGCAAGCAGCAGCCGTGGTTACGAATGATGGTGGGCATGCTTAATGTAAATGCCAAATAGGTTATTTAAGTTTCTAGTTTTAAACCGTTAAAATTGGGTTTTTTGTGTGTTACAGTACAATTGATTACTGCTTGCGTTGTGTTAAAATGCGCAATGATTTTCTCCCGATGATGTATTATTTGATCACTAAGTTGTGCATACCATTGCAAAACAGAGGTCTGAGTTATACAAACAATTAAAAAAAAAAGGTACCTTAATGTTTTAGGGCGATTTAACAATTTTAGGTTAGATGTTTATCTACTATTGTCTAGATCGCATCACGTAAAAATAACACTAGACTGAAAATGTGTGTGAAAATCTATCCGCGACAGTATATATCTGTTAAGATTAACTTGCAAGAACGACGCGGTGGGTAACAGTTTTATTTTATATAGATGAGGAGAGGTTTGCAAAAACAAATTTTAAAGCCCAAAATAGCTAGTATTAGTATAGATTCTCGATTGCCAAAAAGGTTTAACACTGTCTGTAGGTTAGGCGAGTAGTACACATTTAAATAAAACACTAACGGTCTAATCTGCCCGTGATCATGGCTGTTGCAAAGCATCCGAAACGTTGTTAGTTAAAATACTTTGTAAATAAGTTTAACTAATATATTTTGCGTTTTGAACCTATTTAAAAGGTAATTTAGACAGCCGACAATCGCGAGTATGCGCATGCGCCATTTTAACTTCAGTCTAGCGTTTGTATTACCTGACGCGACCTGTTACCCTTACATGATTATCACTCACCCGCTTGACGAGGGTCCTATCAGCGTGTGGGTCGTCATCATCGGGCGTCGGCGGCAGCGGGCGAGTGGGGGGTCCGGCGCATCCGTCCTCGGACACCGCAGAGAGACCGGGCCTATAGCAGAACTCGGGACTGACAAGCCGAAACCAAATAACGGAGCAACGAAATGGAGGATGAATGGGGGCGGGGTGAAATAAAAGAAATGCAACGAAAATATAACATAGGTAATGATGATAAATAATTAGATTTTTTTTGATAAGCAATATAGGTTCACTATAGTAAATGTTATGTTAGTTAAATGATGACATTTCTTATAAACTTCTAGACTAATGTCAAATTTCTGTCTACTATGTTGCGAACGTCTTATCGAACGGGGATCAAACCGCCGACCCCACGTTACAAATTCTGGTATTTATAACAAAAACCCATATAACTCCTATGACCTCATCGAAATAAATTGTGTGAATGGTATGAGATGGTGGGTACAGATGAGTTAACCATTTGCAACAGATCTTACAGTGGTTTTGGTGGATCACTAGCGAGTAGAGTGCCATCGTTGCGCACGCGACCGCCCCCTTCGTCCGCATCAGAATCACTGTCAGAATCCTCGAAGGTCGGTTCCGGAGGATTCCTCTCGACCGGTGGACCTGCAGAGTAAAGTTTAACATTTTGAACTAATACTCTATATGTAAACTTAAATATTTTTCACATGTTGTGTGTTTTTTCTAACTTGGCAAAGGACCACTATTAATATGACCGATGTCAAACCATAGAGAATTAGTGAAGAACATTCGTAGAGGGAAGTCGTTGCCAAAAATGACATAGGTATAAAGAAATATTGTATGTATATGGACCATGCAACTAAACTAAATTATTATTTAACTCGACGTTTGCAACGCTTTTCCGCGATCGTGCATGAGTGAGACTTCTACCTTCTATTATCGTTGACTTTGCTAAAATCCAATTCTTATGTATTATGTCAAACTAAAGAAAATTTAAACTATTCTTCTACTTAAATTGATAAAATCATTATTAATTTCAGCACAAATTTGTGGTTTTTACTAAGTTAGTTTGAGGTAGTTTATTAGTTGAATATACATTCCATTGCCTCAAAGTGCTTTTAGTGTTTTACGATTTTATGTCAATTGTGTGTTAGTTTACAAAAAATGCCAAGTAAGAAAAAATACACTATAGATTCCATTTTAAAGTGACGTCACCAGCAATTAGCTTACCTTGTCCATTGGTTGGCGCTCTGGGTGGCCGGTTCGGGGGTTCGTTGCCCGACACCACACCCAACTCGTTAAGCTGAGCAGCCAGCTTGTCCAGATCCTAATAACGATAGCAAAGTCAGTAACGAATAGCACTCTGGATAAAGTAAAGAAAATAAAACGAAACACACCTCTGGCCGTCTCGGCGGTAACTGCGAGCGAAGTTAAATCAGATGTGCAAAGAAAAACAGCGTGACATGGAAACAAAAAGAAAGCTTTTAAACAAAAACAAAACACTATTAGTTATGATACCTAACAACTACAATGTTTTTTATTTCACAAAAAATCTTCAAAAATTATAATTTAAGTGCACAGTACATTTAGTAAAAATACGTTATATATATTGCGATTTAAACCGTTAAAATGTTTTATTTATATTTCTGTAGTTAACAGAAGTAGTTACAATAACCATCGGTCTAAAAAACTGTTTAACAAGAACAAGTATAATATTTGTACCAAATATAGAAGTATTCGTACCATGGGCTTAAAAATGTGGTGGGAACCACGCTGCGGGGGCTGGGGACCACTGGCCGGTGGCGTGCCATTGTTCGATCCGGAGCTGTTAGAGGATCCAGACGACTTCGGAGTCGGCGGTAGAGGTCTGTAAGATGTTAGAAGGCCATAAGAATAAATCAGTTTATTATTGCGAGTAAATTTACTTAAATAAACCTGCATAAGTATTTTTTCATTTATTTTATTTTGAAAATCTGTACTTTTTATGATAGATGAAGACAGACAAGTATGAGGTTAGCTTAAAGGCGGAACACGCCAGTCCTATAACATCTAAACTAGATCGGAAATCCACAAAATGTAGCCCAAACGCGATGAAACTTGACAGTTTTTTCACCTGTGGACGCAATTTCGAAATTCCTACCACCAATTGAATATACAGTCGTCCAACATGCTCTTGAACCATAGTAGTGTTCGAAACCACGACCCATTGATCATTAGATATACATTGCTACCATTGCAGTTTACGGCAAAACAAAGATAGGCCGACAGCACATCTTGTTTAGATGTTATATGGTAGGTTTTCACCAAGTGTACAGTTTTTATCCACTAGAAATATATTTCTCGAAAATGTTACATAACTTAGTTCACGTATATTGTTTGCATTGAAATATTCAAGAAAATGGAAAACTTAGTAGCGGATCTTGTCATCATTAGTAAAAAAGGTGCTGCAAACACTGGTCTATATTTTGGTTCGCATTCTCCTTTTGCAGCTTGATATTTATAGCATCAAAGGAGTATAAAATTCCATAGCTACCTATATCTGTTAGGCTGTTGCGCTTGCGGATCCGGCACTACGATCAGTCTTTGTGGAATGGATGGTCTCGCTGGAGGACCAGGTTCTAGAAGATATTCCCTCAAACATTACAATATAAATCTACACTTATAAATAACTAGCTGTGCCCGCGAATTCGTCCGCGTGGAATAGAATTTTTAATTATGTAGGCTGTTAATTAATTTATGTAATTGCGCATTTATCGCAGCCAATCTATGTTGTAAGTGCTACTTTGCCGCAACGCTATTCCCCCCCCCCCTTTAACCATCTGTGTACCAAATTTCATTCAAAAACGTTTAGTAGTTTTGGCGTGAAAGAGTGACAGACAGACAGAGTTACTTTCGCATTTATAATATTTGTAAGGATATAGTGAAATCCCTTTTCCATCTGTGGACGATGGGGCAAACACTTTTTTGACCATGACATATTTTAGTTAAAAGCAAGTAGTCGATCAGAATCCTGTGCTTTGCTCGACCTAAACAATTTATTGTTGCTCTGGTTATCGAACCCAGCACCACTTGTGGTTAGCACAATTCTAGCTAACGCATATCATTCGAAAGTAATATTAAGCAATCCATGCATTGTTCTAAAGCATGACAACTATAGGACATAATGAACATTTTTTTAATAACTCAGGTAGGATTTGAACCTACGACCACGCAACTCAATTGTTCGAGCAGATATAGACAAACAAAAATCTTTGCCCTCTATCCAGCCTCGTCACCAGGAACCACACAGAAGTGAATAGTTTAAAACAATATGTATTAAAATTTATTTACCTGGAATTTCTTCACGCTCCTCGCGTTTGCTGTTTCGCTTAGGTGGAGGTTGAGGCTGCTGTGCTTCTGCAGCTCTATAAAAAATATAAATGATTTTATTCGAGTAATTGTACTTGAATATATGTATGTGTGCGGTAAATAATAATAGACAACATAATAATGTTATGACAAAACTTCGATATAAAGACAAGACTTATATAGAGATAATTATTACTATATTAGATATAAAACAATGACCATACCAAATTTTATAAAATTTTGTGTTTCCTTAGAATTAACAACAAAAAAAGAACTATGTATTTCCTTTAAATAACGCCAGGCCGAAGTTGAAAATCATTTTCAAATAAGTTTAACTAATATATCGCGTTTTAAACCGAGTGTTTTATTTAAATGTGTACTACTCGCGTAAACTATAGACAGTATTTATGTATTTCTTTGTATTTGTTATAAAAGATATTCAGTCCAGTACATTCAGCACGATACTTCTTGGGTTCAAAACATGGATTGGGATTTGATTTACAAATAAACTCAAACACTAGACTTTATTTTGGTCGGGCGAGTACAGTCGATATGTCTTTAATCGAAATATTGTATGGTTCAGATGCATTCGTTCTGTTAAGCAATGCTGAAATTATGGGAGCAGTCTAAACTATATTCTCAAAGATTTATGAACCAAAGAACATGTTTCGCAATCACATTAGTATATATAATACTATAGTTGATCCGACTTATGTGCCTCAACTGAGACAACTATGTCTCCTAGGACATACGAAGCCAGGACTTGATCTCCGAGTCACGCGGTGTATACACACTACGAAATAAACTCACCGGCCCTCCTGTATCTGCTGGAAGTTCCTCCGGAGAGTGTCGCCGCCCTGGTGCGGCGCGTTGTGCACAATCGAGGACGGCTCCCCAGCGATGGCGTTGTCCTCTTCCTCTCCCTCCGAGCCGGAGTACTTGTAGTCCTCGCGCACCGAGTTGTCCTGCTTGCGTTTCTTACACCTGTCTATGTGGTCCTTCAGCTGGATGCGGACCTGACGCTCTGTTGGTTGGTCCCTGTAATAAACATTAAACTGATTCTCAAAAAAATATATTGGGCTCTATGACAATCGCAATACTTTTTTTTATCAAAAAAAATATACTTTGTCTAGGTTTGACAATTAAAATCGATGTTTCTTTATCAAACTACAGTAATATATAAGGCTGAAGAGTTTGTTTGAACGCCCTAATCTCAAGAACTACTGGTACTATGGCACGCAGCCGACGTCGTGGGCAATAGCTTAAATTTATAAAGATGAAGAGGTTTCCGAAAACAAAACTGGTAAGTCTCTGACACAGCTAGTGGGCAATAAAATACAAATATGTATAACAATTATGATCAGCATACTTACAGTTTAAGTGTAAGCTGTCAAAACTATCACCCTACAATAGACAGGGCATGTAGTCTTTTGTATTTAAAACTATTAAGAACTATACCTGATGAAGGGATGTTTCAGCAGTTGTTCAGTATAAGGCCTCTGGTGGTAATCTTTCACGAGAACGGTCTCCACGAAGCTGTGAAATTTCTTTGCCCACTTTTTGGATTTTAAGCGCGGTGGTGGATTTCTGAAAAAAGTATAAATGCTCTTTATGCCTAAGGAAAGACAAATGTTGCCTGGTAAGGTAAAATACCCTGGGTATTGGACAGTACATATTCTTGCTGTAAATTGTAGCTTTTGACCCAGAATTTCTATATTTATAGCAACTCTTTAATATGCTCAACTATTTAATTTTATAATATATATGTATTAACATAAACACTTGTCACAATTTAAAACATATTTTGCGTTTTAAACCGTTAAGTGTTTTATTAAAATGTGTACTCATATAAACCACAGATAATAAGCAATATAACCCAACATATAATGCTATGTGTAGGGAATAACTACTTTAAAGTAACATTTAACTCAAACTGTGACTTTATAGAATAGGCCAAATTTATTTGCTTGTGGCTTTATACACAAAAACATACGGCTTATTACTAAATATAACAATGAAACATAACCCAATCTTACACTGTCTGTAGTTTACGCGAGTACATAAATTTCTGTGTAAATAACTAAAGAGATAAGAAGGTGAGTTACCTTGGAATGAGAAAAAGCGCCCTCATAGGGTGAAGCTCGCACAGCGGTGGTTGACTCTCGGCCATTTCAAGGGCAGTGATACCCAGGGACCACAGGTCAGATCGGTTGTCGTACGTCGCTTCGGGGTTCTCGTCGCACGCGATCACTTCCGGGGCCATCCAGTACGGGGTGCCGATGAAAGTGTTCCGCCTGCCGATGGTCCGGTCCAGTTGTGCAGACACACCAAAGTCGACTGGAAATATGAATTTGATGTTTATTAGGAACCGTGATGCAGATAGAGATAGTTTTTCACAGACACTATATTACTTAAAAAATCTAAAATATTTTTAAAAAAATCAAATATTTTTTTTAGATAGTACAAAACCCTTTGTGTAAGGATCCAGCACGCACTTGGCTGACTTTGTATGACCTTATTAACACTTCACATTGAAATTCTGTCCAAAAAATAATAATAAAAACTTTTATACAAGTCCAAAGTGCTAGTGTGTTAGTAATTAACTCAATACTTTTAAATAAAACACTTTAACGGTTTAAAACGCGATATATTAGTTAAACTTATTTGAAAATGATTTTTAACTTCGGCCCGACGTTTCGGATGCTTTGCAGCAGCCGTGGTCACGGGGAGACCATTAAAGTGTTTTATTTAAATGTGTACTACTCGCGTAAACTATAGACAGTATTTATGTATTTCTTTGTATTTGTTATAAAAGATATTCAGTCCAGTACATTCAGCACGATACTTCTTGGGTTCAAAACATGGATTGGGATTTGATTTACAAATAAACTCAAACACTAGACTTTATTTTGGTCGGGCGAGTACAGTCGATATGTCTTTAATCGAAATATTGTATGGTTCAGATGCATTCGTTCTGTTAAGCAATGCTGAATGATGACTATAGACAGTATTTAACTCACTACTTACTAATGCATATGTCTAAATTTAATTAAATTTTTGTATATATAAACATAAATAATATTAATATATAACTTACCCAGTTTAACTTCAGCATTGTCAGTCAGTAAAACATTTTGACCTTTTATGTCTCGGTGGATTACTTTGTTTGAATGTAAATAACTGAGCCCTCGGAGAATTTCCCTGCAGATGTATGATATCCACTCTTCTTTCAATGATTGTCCCTTTGTTGATTTCACCAAGTCAGTTACGGAACCTAAAAGTATATGAGACAGTTTTGATTAGATTTTAGATTTTTAATTTATACAGTGCCATCATGTGAAAAATATTAAAGTTTTCAAATACACGAGACATTTTTAAATGTGTTAGATGATACATTTCGGGTTCTGGAGATGTCGTTTTGCTTCTGAAATTTTTCTATCAACAGAGAAATCACATCCAAATGTGGAGAAAAATATTTTTGTTCACACAGGAGACTGAACTTTGAACTTGCGAATGCAACTTGGGTGCTCATTAGTCGTCTCAATATACTAAACATTAATGATTCACAGAAAAATTAACAAGAGACATGCTCTCAACAATAATGAAAGGGAAATTTATTAATCAGTGTCAAAGGTTATTGAACTTTTACTTTTCTTGGGCGAGCTATAATTAACATTAATCAACTTACATGAGATATGCTATTGCTGTTCTGTTCTGTCATTTAATATTTGTAGAACTATATACATTAATAGTGAGTTTATGAAGCTTACAACATTTTTGTAAATGCATATACTTGGGATAACAATGTATCATACTTATATATTCATCGTTGCAAAAGTGTAAAGTATCCAGACATAATATAATTATTACAATAGTAGTTAATTAAGTAACACATTGTGGTATAACTAAAAGTACTTACCAGCACCACAATATTCCATGACCAGCCAGAGTTGATCATCTTTTCCTGGAGGACTCTTTTTAATGAAGGCACCATAGTATGTGGCAATGTTGCGATGTGTTGAATACTTTTTTAAAACATTGATTTCAAGTTTTATCTCCTCCTCTTCATCTTGAGTGACGTCCATCACCTTGATGGCAGCAAGCTGACCAGTCTTTGTGTGGCGTCCCTAAAGTTTTTAAACAAATAATAAGTACTTGCTATCTTGATATATTTAATACAGCTGTACTAACATTCCAAATCCAATACACACTTTGGTGTGTGTGGTTTATATTCTGTTGGTGATTCAATAATCGTAAAGAATTCATGTAAACCAGCGATTCCCAAAGTAGTCTATATCCACCCCTAGGTCAGCAAAATAAAATTGAGGGTCCATGAAATGAAAATGGGGGTCCAAGATAGTGAATCTCAACACAAACACTGATAGTACCTATTTACTTACATCATACTATCTTATAATATCAAACCATATACATTAGTTATAAAAGTACCTATGAACAAAAAAAATATTACATAATATGTTTAATAACAGATACAAAATATTATTTTGAGTAGTTTTAATCTAAACATTGAACTTCACTACAGTTAGAAATTTACAGGTAATCAATATCATGTAAGTAGGGGGTCTACCCAACACGGAAAAACATGGCAAAGGGTCTATGAGTCAAAAAAGTTTGGGGAACTCTGATGTAAACTTTTAATATTAGACTCACAAAACATTAGAAATCAAATGTGTTTAAATATATGCAAGTTAGTTTGATAAAGCTTTGTAAAGATAATTTACAATTAAGATAGTAGACAATTTATCAATAAATATTTACTCAAATAATCATCACTCTCTTTTAATTTTTTTGATAAGTGAAGTGACTAATACATAGGTCTCATTAGAATTTACTGTACACTTCACCAACAACTAGTTTTAATAGGAAGTATATAGAAGAAAACAATTTACAGTTTTTGTTATCATATAGAGGTGATTTGACGTAAATAAATGAGAAGGTATATGACTATAACTTAAGTTAAATCTAAGCACCAACCTTGTAAACCTGGCCATAAGTACCATTTCCAACAACTTCAATGAGTTCGAATATCCCCGCAGGGTCCTGCAAACAGAGACGTCAGGAAATATATAGATAAAGACTAATTATACTCTTATTCCCTAACACCTTCCCTATGATTCACACCCCTTTGGGATCATTGCACTCTCGGCAGACTCACAAAGGGCCTTCAACCCATTATACATTTAACAATGTTTTTAGTATAAATTAAACATTTACCTTTAGTGCACTGAGGTCAATGTCGTCTAATGAACAATTTACAGACGGTGCTAGCTGATGCGCCATTTTGAGTATATTGTCACACACGAAGACAAAGCACGAGATCCTCACATCAATATAAAAGCGTTATAAAAGAACTAAGATTATAACATTTGTGTAGATATTTGTAAGAAATTACTATTGTTCGTCTAAATAAATTATAAAACACATTGTTTACAATTTAATTTACAGAGAATTACAGATACACAATTTATACGCCGCACACACACACCCGGCTGGGATGCCAGATGTTACTGACCAATGGTAATCGTACCAAGTGTTTATTCATTTCTACTATAAAGATAATGTATAATTACCAAGTCCATAGACTATATTACAATTTTAACTAGTTTTATTATCTTTCTACTGTGTTCTATTCTTGATTTACATTTGTAAATATATTGTAGCTTATTAAAAAGTTATTAGGCCTAATAATTTGTGTTTTTTAGCACGTTTGTTGTCCTTAAAGTCACAAATGATGGTAGCTTTTTCTGACGTTTCTACTAAAACATCAAATGTTAAGTATTCAACCAATAAGATTATTAAACAATATATATGCACATATATCATCATAATACCTATTCAAATACATAGGGTGAAACACCCAGTTTTTAGAACTAAAACAGCGATTTCGATGTAAGCGATATACTTAATTTTCCATTGATAATAGACACTATTAAAGTTGAAAATGGGAAATGGAACAGTAGATAATTTAATATTAGAAAAAAAACTATTGCACATGATTCTTAATTTCAAACCCTTTTAACCGTACTTTAAAGCCACCAAAACATTAAGTATAAGTCAAAGAAGTGTTTGCTATAAGAATATGTATTTATTATATTAGTAATAAGTTATAACTTATTTATTTTTTACAAATGTTTAAATAGACGGACGAGGAACTAGAAAATAAGTCACTTAAAACGGAAAATAAAATAAAATGGATTGTTAATACTTTCCTCTTGTTTTATTAGTTAAAAAACTTATAATAGTTTACTTAGAACATAAGTTTATCCAGTACTTAGCGTAATATTAGTGAAACAATACTTTTAATATTTCGCGAATGTTGTGAGCGTGTAAAAAACCCATATATTACAGCCTTCATATTATATTTTATTTGTAAGAACGGCCCTGTTCAATTTCCTATTGGTATCTAATATCATTACGTGATCTAGTTTTAGTTACCCAAGTATGCGAAGGTTACATTAAATAGAACAAAGAATCAAAGTTAACCAAGTAACAATTGTTAAGACGTGGCACTAACGTTATTTCGGTTGTGAAGATACAGAGCCCGCAGTCTAGACAGATTAGGTACTGACCTACTTGTGGCTTTAGCAGTTAAGCGTGTGTTATTGCACAAACACCTAACTTAAATTATTGGCGAGATATTATAGAAGTAAAATACAGCCTCAGCGCTACGTGCGGCCGCGCATACCGAGTGGTAAGATCAAAGCACGCATAGGTACTCCAACACCCACACGAGCCCGCTGCGGTTGTGTTAGGGCATCGTTACACACACGCGCAGGCGTTACTAATAAAAGTATAATAAAAGTTACCAAGACAGAAGTGCGGCGTACGGTACTATTTGTTTGGAGGGAGGTTGAGGCACTCATACAGACGAGAGGCTGTGTTGGCGCAACGAGGCGGCCAGTTTACCGTTGCAAGGCGCTTTGTGCGGCCGGACGTACGACCGTCACCCGCGCGCCGCCGGCCCTCCGAAGCACCGGCCTCTGCCACCGACTGCCCAACCCTGGACTATCCGGGACTACCCCCCACTGTGTCACATGTTCAAGGACTGAACGAACGAGTTAGTTTTCTAAAGACCAAGTGCGACTCGTGCGTAATTGAAGTGCAATTCTCATTTCTGATTCTTTATTGGATGGTCTCTGTATCCACGGTAAGTCATATAAGAGTTTCTATTTAGAACCACGTTAAAATGTTGCTATTATATACGTTCGATGTTTGATTACAACATGTAAACCCTAACATTATATTCGAATTAAGCCTCATTGGAAAGCTATAGACTATATATATTTATGCATCGCTACCATTCAAGCTTTGACAATACTATAAAAAGTCTATTAGGCACGATTTCTCTCGAACTGCGTTCTAGATGAAAAGATCATTTTAGCTCAGTGTCCATCTATTTTGTTTTTAGCACGTTTTGATAAGTTTTACGTGGCGCACGGGCGTCGATGTTCTTATTGTTTTTTTACCAAAGACTTAATTAGAATTATGTTCATTCGCATAATAAAATAACTGTAATGTTACCCTGGCTAGTTTATTTCCAGCTCATTAGGTATTAATCGCCTGAAGTAGAAGTCACGACAGCATATTTCATGCAAGGGAAAAAAATCATATTTGACATTCAGCCCGTTACAAGTAAAGCAATATGAACTTTAAAGCTTTATTTTAAGACGTTTGATATTTTACGCCGAGACAAAGTTGGAACTTCCGGCTTTAAAATAATGCTGTTAAATTATTTCGACGAAAATAAGTTACAATCCAGATAATGGTATATAAAAATATATGTTATCTATGGTGTCTGTAGTTTACGCGAGTAGTACAGTTAAATAAAACACTTTAACGGTTTAAAACGCGATATATATTAGTTAAACTTGTTTGAAAATTATTTTAACTAGAACTCGATTTTCGGATACTTTGCAGTAGCCGTTATCACGTGGATACTGCTATATATTTATTAAAAGTGTTTTATTTATGTTATCCATGTTTTACAACAAAAATAGTTCTTCATACGTAATTGGTAGTAATTCTTGGTAATATTACTGTATCATATACTAGTATGGTGTTACAGCTAACTAACGACAATTTCAAACTAATTATCCATGTTCAGGTAATTTATTATTAAGATTCATTCACACGAATGTAATGACTAATCAATAACAATTATGTGTCCGAAGAAAGTTCACTTAAGTGAATACTAAACTCCAGTAATTAATTACGATTTAGTTAATGGATAAATCGTAACTCCATGATATTAATGATGGTTGATTTATTTATGTTATCTGTGGCGTACATTGTAACTAACTGGATATCTATTCAGTTTTAGAGGTGTCTGATCTAGGTACTAACTAGTAAGTGAATTGAGCGAAACAAGATCATTTATATATTCCGCGTTTTTAAACAAATATAAGTGATTTGACATAGAAAAATCATTACAACACGGGCGGTACTTCAACGTGCTCTAACCAATTGAGTAACCGTGTCCTACACGTCATCGTCGATTTTTTAATTAATCATTTATTCAAATGTCTACTAGCGTAAACTACAAACAATTCAAAGAAAAAGTATGTTCAATTGAAATCTTTAATATTTTTCAAATATTACATGATGATAGCAGTATATATTTTAAAAATCGAAAATAAATTAATAAAATTTTCGACTCGGGCAGGACTTGGACCGGCATCGTCAGAGTTTGGTGCTGTTGCTCTACCAATTGAGCCATCGACTCGACTCGATTTTTTTTCAACTTTCGATTTTTAAAGTACTTACAATATTTTAGCCGCAAAACCCTATTTAGTCGAAAAAACAGCACTTACCCCAAAATGGTCGTTACTAGACTATTTTTGACGTTTATAAAAGCCAGAAAATTAAATAAAATACTTTTACCTCAATCTACTTTTTAATAAATAATTAAGGTAAAGTAGTAAAACGTTTATCTGCATCATTAATATCATAACCCCAAAAATTGTTACACATAATTGTAGCAATGTCAGAGACGGCTGTTTCGAAATTACATTAATTGTAAGCACTTAAATGAGAAATAACAGTTGTATTACACGGGTTCAATTTTAGTATTTCTTTATACTTAACTAGTAGAGCTCTGCGGTGTTACGCGAGCTATTTTATCATATACATACTTCCTTAGGTAATAAATGTTACTATAATATAACAACACGTTATTGTTATTTCTTACATCTGCCCAGTTAATAAGTCTTTTTCTATTTCTCTTCTCCTGTACTTCAGGTTGCCTCGAAGAGATCGATATTTATAAGTTAGTACGTAAGATGTTTTCTCTTTTTTGTAGTATGGGCTAAAAATAATAAAGCTTTGATAAAATAAATACACGTGTTACTTTGATTTTATTTCTAAATTTTTATCAAAGTTGATGAAGTAGAGAATTACCTGATACAAACTTTATCCTCCTTGTTCCCCCTTCTGGGTTTAAATTTCGAAACGTTTATCGGTTGCCTACATAATTGTTCAAAGAACAAACTACCTAGGTCCGTTGCTTCGGTATTTACGATCACTGTACGTCGATCGGCCAACTAGGTTTCTGTTTAGGATTTAAAATTTATCAAAACCACTCATAATCTTTGTTTTATAACAAAGATTATGAGTGGTTTTGATAAATTTTGCTTTTCGCATAGAGCTAATAAGGTGATTTATATCTCATAATAAATAAAAGTGCCGTTGTCACAATTTTGTTTGTCTTATATGAATACGTTAATTACTATATTATCAAGAAAATATATACAATAATTTATAGTTTTAAAATTAAACATAATCAAAAGCAAATAACAATATTTTTTTGCACGAAGGTTGTCAGTGCAAATTAACAAAAATAATACACTTAAAATAGTATCAGTGCAGGAAGAGCTTCGTTTCGGTAGTTTTTAATTAAATTAATAAACAATAATATTTTCGATTTAACAAAGATTTAAGCTGTTATTGAAGTAAAATGTTGAGGAAATCGTAGCGAAAACTTCCGATTATTTTTAATGTAAAAACACATGAAAGTAGAGTAGCGCGCGTTGAACTCTATTATACTGACGTGCGCAACTAGATGACAGATTTTTTTAAATATAATATTACTAGCTGTGGCCGCCATATTGTCCGAGTAAAATAGTTATTTCGGACATCAATATTTGTTTTTGAACACCCCCTCTTCGTATTTATAAAGTTTAGCTGTTATCGACGTCTGCGTCCCGTGGTTCTTGCAGACAGTTTAAAAAAAAATAGTCTTTCATCCCTATATTTTGGTATCTTGAATCATTTTTGCGGCACGC